CCGAGACCCAGGATTCGAGATCCGTCAGTGACAACACAGATCTCGGGGTTCGGGCAAGGCCAGTTGCGAAGCATGGTCCGGATAGACTTTCGCTGCTTGATTGAAATGTACAAGGCTTCGGGGCGGGTGTATAGGGTAGAGTATTGCAAGCAAACGTCGCCGATGGTGGGGGTGTAGACCAGGGGCATCAGCTCCCGAATGTTGTCCATAAGCAGGCGGTAGAACAGATCGACGTTCTGCGCCTTGATGGTGGACAGATACAGGTACTTGTCAATGTTGGTCTGGCGGCTCTGGATCATCTTCATGGCCCTGGCGCACTGGGTCTCGAGGCTCTCCATGGCGTGGGGAATGAGACCAGTAAGATTCTTGGCGATACGTTGTTCGGGAGTAAATGAGAGGCCTTTCATGATGCCGGTAAGTTAGCAATCGGTTGTACTGGTGTAAAAACAAACGTAGATGTAAATGCGTAGCCACAGCAGAAATTGTAAAAACGAGCTGCAAGTATGTGTAGATTGTAAAAGAGAACAAGAGAAGAGGAAAAAAAAAGTGTATGTAAGACTACAATAACAAATCAACCTACCCTTATTCCACAATGGCTCACGAAGGACCTGATAGGCGGAAGCGTCGGATTCCTTGAGGTACTCTGTTTCGTGGTCTTGCTTAACCTCGGTATAGTGGTCTTGGGCGTAGCCCCGGTGCTGGTCTAGGGACGCCAACTTCATGGCCTCCTCAATGGCCAAAACGTCGACTGAAGACATTGGGTTAAAATCGGTCAGTCTGCGGCTAGAAATGGAGACGCGTTTATTAGACACGGAAGTGCGAGAGGAACGGTGAGAGGAACGGCCCGAAGCTACGGACGGTGAAGGTGAAGTTGACCGAGGAGTGAAGACGTCAGAACTGTCGGCACTGCGGGCACTCGACGCCATTGGTGGGGGGCGTAGAGCTGGGATATTGTTCAGCGAAGATGCTGAGAAAAGGGATGAATGAGAACGTGGAAGATGGCTGCCCGAGTCGCCGCTTAGCGTTGGAACAAGAGAAGAAGTTGAAATTGGTTTCAAAGAAGAAGCAAATGCAGACGAGGATGGCAATGGTTTAATAGTAACAGCAGCTATGGATGGCAGGCCCCTGCGGAACATGGGGTTGGATTTTTTCATTAATAACCCCAACCTTCCACGAGATCCGCTCTCAAGACGAGAAGCAAGAACCAACGACTGGCGGCTCATGACAGGACAACGTGGAGCTAGGGGGGTGAAGGGGATGTGAAGCTGAAGGACTTGGGGTCTAGGCAGATTCGGGTATGTTTCAGAAGACAGCGGAGGCTAATATTCCATGGGCATCACGAGACGACAAAACGACTATGAAGGGGGGTGAGTGTGAAGCAAAAAGGGGAAGGGGGTTGCACTGGAGGGGAAAAAGAAAAGATGAAGGAAGAAGAGGACCAAAGATTGGCAGACTCGAGAAAAGGTGAAACGTGCGGACGATGGTGCAGTAATGCCTGGTAAGAAGGGATTTTGGAGATGTACCAGTACCTTGCGCAGAGCGGGCGGGCTGGGCACGGACAATGCTCGGGCTGCACGAGGCACGGATTAAAAAAAAAAACGAAAGCACCGACAAAAAGCAAAGTGCCAGAAAGCCATTGGATTAAAAAAAGGTGGCGAGTGCCTCCGTACTTACCGGAAGCTTGTCCGCTGGGGGGACTAATTGACGGTGACTTGGGCTAGTCGTGCGCAGACTAATACACGGAGTATGGCGGGCTCGATGCGGAGCTGACGAGGGAGATGAAGGATTTGATACCCGGTAGGTAGGGTGTATGGGAAAGTAGATGGATGGATGAACAAATGATTGATAAAGGGAACAGAGGCAAGAGGATCTTGGCCGAGTATTATATCTTCAAAAGACTAGAGTTGGATGGCGTTGTCGTTGGGCCATTTTGAGGAGATGCCGGCCTCTAGCCGGGTCGGGATGTTGCACTCGAGGATTGTCCAAGTTGTACGAGTACTTGTCGCTCGCATTGAATGCAAATAAGATGCCATCTGCCCTAGCCAATCCACTCGCCGGATGGACTTGCGCGGTCGGGCGCCCATCATGAATCCATCCAACCTTTTGGTCGTTTGTCTGGCTCCGTGTCGCTCCGGTCGGGCAAGGGGTGGCAGGGGATGGGCCAACTAGGTAGCAGCAGTAGTTTCTTTCCCCAAGCTGCATTAGCCGGCGCCAGGCCTCCGGGATCCGCAGGGGTGGAGAGACATGATGACTAGCCTGACGGTCTGGTTTTTTTGCTGTTGTCTGGCGGTTTGCTCAGGTGCTTTGCACTGGGAATAGGGGATAATGGACTGATGTGAGGCGGAGGGCATGACGGATTTCAAATCAGACGAGATGCACGAGCATGAGATTACGACTCTGATAACAGAGATAAGAGAAAGCAACTTAGAAGCGCAAGAGCGAGAACGTGCAAGTCACGGCACTTGTGCCTTCCTGCGGACAACTGCGCCGTGGCGGCACCTTCCACACACTAGGCCAGGGCTGGCCAATCAGCTGCGCTGCCGCGTGGACTCCACACATCCTCTTCTCTCAACATTCTTTTTCTTCTATTTTCTTCATCTCCACCTCGACGAACAGGTCAGCATGTACTCGTAAACGCAAGCAACAGCAGCTCCCAGCAGGGGGCGGCGAAAACGACCGCGGCGGCTCTTTTCTGAGTCCCGTCGCTGTCCACTTTGCATTGCCTCCTTAGACCTGGTCTCGGGAATCTTGGGCGTGACCCGGACAGGATCCGGTCCCGGGCCGGTCACTTGAAGAGCAAGAAACGAGGCCTGCTGAGGCCATCATGAGCACCTTGTGCTTACAAAGCCCATGTCGCGTGTGTCCCGTTGGGCATCTCCAGCCTCGTTCTGTTCCTGTCTGCGTCAGTGCGTCCGTTGGGCTGCCACAGAGGGCACACGCGCAACGACGCTCAGTTGCGCCTACAAGGTGAGATGAGGTATGGGATGTTGCCGCACGCACTAAAACACTTGGTTCTACTAACCTGCATTGGTACCAAGACTTTGGCTGTATCAGATTTCTGCGACTTCAGCTGATACTCCTGACCGTTGCAGTTGACACACTTGAAGCATCACCTTTGCTGCACGCGCACTTGCACTCCGACCTCTTCCGAAATCCTCCGTCTTTGATGTCAGGGGTCCCTGCATGTGATGTGGGCCTTGCCGGAGCACGATGGGCCCTGCAATCGGAGCCGGCGCCCCATCGATTATTCGCATTCAATTTCGCGGCACTCTTAGTGCGCCATCTCTCAAAAGACATCGGGCTATTGATTGAAAGCAGTAATCGTACTCGGACATCCTAGGCCGGCGCTCAAGGGATCATCTGCCAGCAGCAAAAGTCCTCTACGTTGTACTCTCGCGTGTATCTGTCCGCTCCCCCTCTCGATATGCGTTGTAATACAGGACTCATGGATATTCTTGTACCACCACGGCTCCTCCAGCTTTTCTACCTGTTGTGGTTCTGGCCCAGTGGGACGGGGCCGCCGATATGAAAACTGGCACCGCGTATGGAGAAACCCTTCTCTTTCTTAGGTAATTTCAAACCAACAACATCACAGTGTACTGCATGAATTGTAACTTCTTCAAGCTGCTATTTCTGACTGTCTCGCGTGTCTCGCTAGCCTGAGGTGCCCCGCCATCTTTTCCGTTTCTTTTTCTTGCTGCTCCTCACAAAATTGACTTCATCCCCATCACGGCATGTGTACGGGGCCCAAACTGGCTTCCATGTACCTGTACATGCCTACTCTTGGACATTTGCGCCAATGTGAATGTAAGCGGATAGGCTAATATGAACACACAGGGGCTGGTGGGATCGTCTCTCGGCTGCATTCATCATGTACGCTTGTCATGTCTCGCCAATAAGCCAGTGCATCTTACAGGTACGCACATGCTTGTTCGATGACTCAATTGAGTTGCTCTTACTCGTATTGCACGGATGCAGTCCCGAACTATGACAGACAAACATGTAGCATCAATGCCAGGCCTGTGGCTAACAACTTCATGCACATTTAGCTTCGACTAGCAAACCCTACCGGGAGACTTCGGCTTGGCTACGAATACGTCCCCCACAATCTACTAACAATAGTGTTGAGGACCAACAAACTAACCGCCAGCTCCCATCTTGTCTTACAGACCGCAGCAAGCCATTGTCACTGCTCCACATTGAATCAAGTCGTCTGCATTCGGCCTTGCTCATCAATGGCTCCAAGCCATGCCGGTATCGGTCCAGGCGTTTTGTCATGCCTTCGTTATGGAGGAGCGCCAGACAGCTTCCCCTCAAAATCACAAGGCATTGACTTACGCCACGCTACCCTCGTGCCATTTTCGGCTCGGCAAGAATTTAGGATCTGGCTTCCCCCGGCCCGGCAAGCTTGGTCTTTAGATCCTTGAGCTTCAGACCCCGCAACCACATGCCATCGCATCTCTAGATCTGCTACCCACATGTCTGAGACCTCCAGACCTCAAACGGTTCACATCAGCCGAGTTCAGATGGCCTGATGAGCTATTCCTTGCTGGGCCAGTTCCGCTCATACTTTGATGACAATTTGCTTGTGACAGGATCATCTACATAGTCATTGCCATTGCAAATCACTTGTACTAACCCTTATCTCTCTGTCTCTATAATGGGTCCTCGCAGCAGCTGCGATCTCGCCGCTTGTAGTCCGAGCACGGAAAAAGGAAAGATTCGGAGAGCAGAAATGTAACAGAGAAAGGAAAATGATGGTTTGGTTTGGTACCCGTAGAGCTCTAAATCCTATGCTGTAGCTAACCCCCCGATTTTTCCCCATATCCTAATCGGCCAGTATTAACCCCCGTCCTATTAGTCTTACATGATATATATAGTTCATCAAATCATTAAACTCGCTCGCCCTTTGCCACATCTAAGACCTCGTCATAGCACGCTAAAAGTGTTGCCATCTTTTTCCCCCCCAACATCATATCCCGAGGTCGCGTTCACCTGGCATCATCCTTGACGGCCTGTGACATCTTATGATTCGCCTTGTCAATTTTGGCCAATGTCTTGTCATCCTGAAGACCCCACCACCTTCGGAGGCCCTGCACATAGGCAACCTCTTCATCCGTGACTTCAACCGGGGGACCTTTGATCTGCGGCAGCATCTCATCGTCGTCCTTTTCAAAGACTGCCCATGCCGAGGCATCTCCGGCGCGGATGCCGAATCCCCTGCCCTGCATCGACACCACCTGGACGCGGCGCAGGAGCACAATGTCGCCGGCCTGAACTATAGGAAGGGAGGCTTGGTGCGGCCGGAAGATGTGCGCGATGTTGACGCCCGTGGGCGCCACTGAGGGGTCGGTAAGGTACAGCTCTAGCATGTAGTCTCGGGGACCATGTTTCGGTCTGTGTGGTTGGCGCGGAGTGAGGGTAGCCACGGCTAAAATATCGGCCGTTTTGGTCAAGGAGGTGCGCAGGGATTTGAGTGGCAGACAGTCCGGTAGGGTAGTTCTTAAGCTCTTCAACAATTGTAGCTTCAGGGATGTCATGTTCCCATCCTCTGCAACGGAGCTGGCGACAGAGGGTGTCTTGGTAGAGGATACGGCGGCGGGTTTTCGGGGTGACCTCAGATTGTGGCCTGTCACCGTGGGCTCGGGCGTACCGTCACGGCGAGGATTTGCTGACGCGTCCTGAGCTGCATCCAAGGCGTTCTCCTGTTCCCCCTCTTCCGCCACCTGCTGTTGTTGAGAGCCCTTGTTGAGGCTGGCTGTCGCTAACTGCACACTCAGATCCGATTTATCAGACTTGCGCCGACCAGCACGTAACGACGCCGTTGGGCTAGCTGGACTGCGTTCCGACGGAGGCGAAAAGGATTGTGCTAGCAGGATGCTGGCATCAATCGAGCCCTTAACGCCACGTCTTGCGCGCAACGAGACCGATGCCCCAGCATCCTTTGGCGATACAGAATTGCGAGGCGATGACTTGGCAAGCGCAATACTGGGGTCCGAATGCTCGGTCTTGTTCCGAGGCGACCGTGGTGATCGTTGGGGAAGGTAATCGCTATCCCCAAGCAGACATTGACGATGCACCATGGTAGGAGAGCCCTTGGCCAGCAACACACTGGGATCGGTTGACAAACTATCGGCGCTATCACTTGACAGTCTCTTAGCACGACAGTGGCTCCGAAGAGATTGCAATGTTATCGACATCTCTGGGTCTGCTCGGCGAGAATTTCGTTCGTGGACTCCGTGGTCGTGGACGCCGTGGTCATGGCCGCAGTGTTCCCCGTGATGGCTATGTTGGCTATGCTGTTGGGTTTGTTGACTTTGTTGGCTCTCCTCAATTTTCTCCATCGTGTCAGGGGGTTGCGAGATAGCCTGCCCAACACGGTCTGCATCGCGCGTCTTCTGGGGGGTGGAATAATGCTGGAATTCAGACATGAGCTGCTGCTCGATTGCAAGGTCGTCATCGTCACCTCCCTCCTCTCTTGCATCCTCATATTCTTCGTCCATGTTTTCGTCCGCGTCTTTGTATTCATCTTCGACATCTTCCTCCACATCTTCCTCCACATCTTCCTCGATGCCCTCATTGACACCCTCCTCATCCGGCGGCACCTCGATATGGGCTACGTCAACCACATTAGGGCTGTTTTCGTAGTCGTCTTGTTGAGTCTCTAGCGGAGTTGGCAGCTGCTTTTCCGTAACTTCTTGCTCCTCCAGGATTGCAACGGCCATAGACACCGAGTGAGATGGCTCTGTCTGCGTCGCTGAAGGTGTTGATGGTGCAGCCACTTCAGGCTCCCTAGTGGCCTTCGAGACTATGTCTGTGGTAGTTTGATCCACCTCTTTGTCGTCTTCTTTCGCAGCAATCTCAGTCTCCTCGCTGAGCTGATGTAGCGCATCATCCTGCATCTCAACGTCTTGCTCGGTCGCATTGACTTCTGCCTCTTCCCCGGCGTTGGGTGGCTGGTCTTCCAGAGTAGTTGGCTGTAGATCCTCCATATGTAAGTCGTCACTGGCGATAGGCTGCTGTGTCGGGGCCTCTGTCACATCTGTCATTTCCGCCGGCACATCTGGGGTCTGTAGAGAGGGCTCATCAAGTTGTTCCGTAGAATTCACAATCCCTGGCGACTCGGCGCGTTGCGTCTGCTCTAGCTGTTGCAATTGCTCTTGTGCCTGTTCTTGCTCTTGCTCTTGCTCGTGTACTTGTTCTTGCTCTTGCTCTTGTACTTGTTGTTGCTTGACTGCTGGCATCTCGTCATTCGGCTCTAAAACAGCCGGTGCCTCGACACTGATAGGCTCCGGCACTGGTGATTCAGAAGCACCGCGCATCTCCACGGTAGGAATCTCTTCGCCCTTAGCTGTGTTAGCAGCCGCGAGTTCGCGTTGCCCTGAGCTCCTGCGCTGAAGCGGAGAGCTAACCATTGGCGACTCGTCCTGGGCCTGAGCTAGAGTTTCAGCTATGTCAACATGCTGCTGTGTCTTGTAGGCTTTGGGAGATATGATTAGATTCGGATGATCCATTTCCGCATGACTGATGTCTCCTCTGTTAGGTTCCTCGTCTTGATATAGGGTGTCTTCATCACAGCCATCCAGTTGGCTTATTCGGCTGGATCTGCGGGATGATCGGCTTGCTACCGTTCTGATCTCAGTTGCTTCCTCGATATCAGATTTGTCTCCAGCTTCATCCATATCTTCGTCCATGGTCTCATCGGCATCTTCATCAACGAGTTCGTCGACGACGTCGTCCTCCTGTTCACTTGTCTGCTCATGAACCTCATCTTGTTCGTGAAGTGCAGGCTCCTCGCTCGGTTCCTTTTTAGCTTTTATGGGGGCAGGCGCATTGTCACCATCGTCTTCTGAGTCGGACAAGAGGCTGATGAATATCGGCTCCTTGGGAACAGCCGGGGCTGGTTTCGGGATTGGCATAAATGGCCTGGGAATTGGTGGCGCCGGGTGCGTGAAACGATTAAAGACCCGAGGTTCAGATTCGGACTCTGATTCCTCTTCGGATTCCTCTTCGGATTCAGATTCAGTCGCGTCATCCTCGTGTTCTTCTTCATCACCTTCCTCCTCATCGCCTTCCTCTCCCTCTTCTTCTTCATCTTCATATCCAGCATATTGTTGGTTGTCAGCTTCTTCTTCTTCTTCTTCCTCTTCTTCAGGATATCTCTCTTGATACCGACCGGTGTTCCAGTCGTAGTAGCGATTGGGCCTGCTCTCTTCTTCTTCTTCTGCCCCCTCCTCGTCCTCTTCAGATTCGTCTGTACTAGATTCTTCTTGAGGAGGACTGGATCTACCTTCTCTACCTAGAGTAGCGGTCACTGTAGCAGTCTCTGTATCCTCTTCGTAACGCTCAGGATAGCTGTTATTGGGCTTTACTCCATCCTGTTGTACATAGGATGACGATGACGCTCTCCGTGCTTCATCAATTTGGACGTAGCCATGCATTTCCGCGCCGTGATGCCCAGCAGACACCAGCGTATGCGTCTCATCGGAAGGGCTAGCTCTCAGGGTGAAGGTTGATCGATCAAAACTACCCTGTTGGAAATCGTGTGTCCTGTGTGTTGGCACCGCAGGATACCCCGGCGCCAGTGCCTCGGCAGCCCAAGCCAAATCGTGTAGATGAGCATCGTGAAGCCCATGCTCTTGTAGTTGAGGCGGCTGAATCTCACTCGCCGTTATATCGTACGTAGGGTGATGATGAGCATCTCCTTCATGTGGCTGTAGGCTTGGGTCTATATCCATGGGTATATCAAAGCCGGCGTGTGGCAGATGCATTTCAGACTGGCTAAGGGACTCCGATTCGTGTATTGAAGGGTGTACGTCTTGGACAACCGCATAATCGAATGAGAGAGGCGACGGCTCTTGCAGCACATGGTCCACTCCAACATGCTTCCAGGGGTGGGTTGGGGTGGGCTGCAGTAGTATTCCGGTCGATCTGGATTCGGCAATGACTTGAACACCTCTGATGGGGCTGGAGCTCAACTCTCTAGTCTGGCATCCGTGATCCACCATAACAGGCTGCGTTTGTGTGATCCTTTGTTCCTCCGCCACAGGCTCCTCGACATCATCGAGCTTTAGTTCGGCTTCCTCTGCTTCTTCATCCGGTTGCTCTTGCTCCTCCTCGGGCGAAGGTGATCGACTGGTATATCGCCAAGCTGTTGGGTTCATACTGAACCGAGATTTCTTCTTCTTCTTCTTCTTGACATCTTTCACGGGCTCCTCTTCATCAAATATGTCAAAGCCGCCCTCGAAGAGGGAGCCATATGAGACTCTTGCTCGCTTGATAAAGGCGGGAGAGGAATACTCGCCAGGCCCAAGCGACTCGTACGCAAATCGTTTAGAAGGTATCGTGGAGAGCGGTGTTCGCGGCAACGGTGTTGAAAATTGTGTGTGTTCGATTTCAATAGACGGCGTCGGACTCGGCTCTCGAAGCTGCTGCAGCGGTTCCTGGTCTTCCTCTTCATCCGCGGCATCAATATCAATGGTGTCCACCGCAAGTGTGTCCGCCCTCCGGATCTTGAGCAGCAAGCGATTGCAAAACCTCAGCTGCCACTCCAAAATGCCCGGATGTCTCGTCCACGCCTGGTTCTCCTCCCACGCAACGCCGTCCAAGCTCAGGCGCACCTCGTCGCCGCCCCCCAAGCTTGAGGCCGCAAGCGCCTTGCCCGCAGCGCCATGGAACTCGACTCGCAGCTGGCCCTTGTCGCGTCGGTGCAGGGGGTCGCGCTCGGCGAGGATGAAGGCAATGGACTTGCTCACAACGCTGTACGGCCAGGTCACGGTGACGACGCCCTCGACAACGAGCGCCGCTGCGTCGGCTATGGCAGGGCTGAGCTTGGCGATGGGCGTGGCCTCGGCGCTTCGCAGCACGTCTGGTTGGGTATTATCCTTTGCCATTGCTGACGGCTTCACGGCTGCGCGGTCATCTAGGACTAGGAGGGGCTCTGCCAGTGCTCAAAGGAAGGCCGCGGGAGGTTCATGATAAGTAGGCGGGAGAGAACAAAGAAGAAAAAAAGGATGCGACCCAAAAAGGAGACGATCCTCTTTTTCCTCCCCTTCCGATGCGTTGTCCGCGATTGATTTGAGCTCAGGTTGAAACGATATGCTGGTCGCTTTTTTTTTCCTCGCCTCACTGCGCTGTCCTGCAGCTCGCCCAATCTCTCAGCGACACAAATCTGCTGGTTGCAGGGGGTGGAGTTGCTGTGGTGAGCGGCTGGAGCCTGTAAAGAAAGGCCTGGAGCTAGAGCGTCAATAGCCGAGAGGGGAAGGCGGTGTGTAGCTGCCTGCAGTTTCTGCCGGCGCCTAGCAAGTTACCCGAAGCTCTTAGTTGCAGTTTACTAGCATGTTAGGTATCCATCCAATGACTGACATCATCGATTAAGGCGGAATCCATTATATCGATGCCCAGGTATTGAGTTAATGCCACATGCACTCTGGTTGACTGAATGCTTCAGGCACCGTTCAATGCCTCCGATCCTTGGGTGGCTACTGCTCTGTACGACCCAACCGCCAAGGTTTCAGTATTCCGCAGTATTACAGGCGCATGCCTTAGGTACTGTATATTACACGCATATGTGGCCGCCGACTCCTGCGTCATCCAAGGGGTCACCACCAATAGCGTTCATGGCCTCTCTCTGGTCTCGCCCAATCCCTTCACGACACAAATCCGCTGGTTGCAAGGGGGTGGATTCGGCATGGTAGGTCCATGTACGTGCATGTCTACAGCTGAAGCCTGTAATGGCGGGGACACAGGACGTTGCTAAGTTTGATGTCTCTATACATGCACGTATATATATGTGATGGGGGTTTTACACTAGACGTGGTTCAATCATCTATCCGCATGGACACGGTTACAAACTTGCTATTAACTACTATAATATGCTTGGCATTCTCAATACAGGAGACTCTTTTCATTCATCCCGTCAGCTCGCTCAATACACGACCACACCACTCCAATACTAAAGAACTACTAGGTACCTCTTCATTCCGCCTACCCATGCCGACATGATGGTCTTCAAGACCCATTTGTGCCTTTGGCATATGGTTTTTTATAATCATAAGGCGGCGGCCGGCCTCCATACCATGGATCAAACGTGAGCAGAGCAAACCCAGGGTCGCCAGCAGCGATGCCACTTGGCCAGCAAGGGTTGTCCCACAGACCAGCATCTGGACTGACTGGTGGCCCCCAAGAGGAGATTGTGAACTCGGGTCGAACGTTGATGGCAACTTCTGCCATTGTTTGCTCAAGGTTTCCGCTCTTCACATAACTCTTCTTGTTCGTAGGCGCCTTGGCCACGTTGTCCATAACGTCCCTATCGGACATGTCTCGTATCGGAGTGCCGAAGCATGAGCCTTTCCACATCTGACCAGCTTTTCGATTTTGGTCATCTGGCAAAAAACGCACCAACTGTCCTTTGCTGTTTAGTCCGGCGTTTATATATGCTGGATCTTGCTTGGTCAAAAAGTACGCCGGCGGGTACTCGTCTCTGTCACAGACCTGCCACGTTCGTCCAGGAGCATTCGGGAGCTGCCAGCCCGCCCCTGTGTGTTGACTCGACCAAGACGACGTCGCGCTGGCGTCTAGACGATGTGACGTCGCCGCTGCCTCTTGCGGGCATGTGAGCGTCGACCATGAGGGGTTTACTTGTATGACCGAGCTGTAATGGTAACACGCCTGTGTCCAAGCACCATCGCAATGTTTGGCCACCTGCGTCGGCCTCGCATTGGCCGCGTAGCCGAGCGATGTGATGATGTACTCGGTCGTTGTCGTCTTGTCGTTGGTACAGGATTGTAGGCGCAGCGTGTTCTTCGCCGCGCCAAGTCGCTGTGTCACCTTGGACGGCGGAACCCTGCATTTCGGTTTGGTCGGCTGTGTTTTTCCACTGCCACCAGTGTTGGGCCGAGGCTTTGCTCTGTCTGTCGGGTTGCCATCATCGCCCTTTTTGCCGCTTCCTTTAGGGATGTTCTTTGGTTTTTTGAAACCCGAAATGCCCCCTGTTACCTGGCTAAGAGTGTCGTACACCTGCTTGATGTCGTCTGGAACCAACCCGGAACCACCACATGGACTCAACCACCACTCAAAGGCACCCCCAGGGTCCTCGCTTTGCGGATATATGTAGTTCACCATCTCGGCCGCGGTTATGGCCATGTCTGGAAAGAAGAAGAAAAGAGTCAGAGAATTGATCCGTGAAACCATAGCGTGTCTGCATACGTACCCAAGCCGGCGTCAAGAGGCTTTCCAACTTCGGGGATCAAGTCCAAGCCGATGTCAAGTACAAGTTTGAGGGTGGACATGAGAAGGTAGCATCCAATCTGAAGCAGTTAGAGTCATTCGGCTAAAGTCTCTCATCCAAAAGACATACCTGAGCAATAATTGGCAGCGCATCCAGGACGAATTCGGCGATTTCGTTGACGAACACACTATCGCAGAAGCATTGTCCCGGTGCCATATAGATCTCCTTTCCAGGAACTCTTGTCCACGGGATATCTTGATCAAGTGGGAAGTTACCAATGCAGCCATAGTTGCTTGTCCGGTTTTCTGCAGCTGCATCATCCAGTGCTGGCTGACAGACCCGCTTGCACGCGTTTATACTTACGTCTCTGTTCGACGAATCTGAAAAGACGGGGCAGAGGTGAGCGTTTTGCCATCTCGCATCTGTGTAGTTGAAGTGATACGCTCCGTCATCCTCTTCGAATTCTTCATCTCCCCCAGCTTTAGGAACGTTTGTGCAAACACCTTGTGGACAATAACCGTATTTGCAGCTGAATTTGCAGAGACGGTTTAGGTCGACATCAGCCGGGTCCCAAGCCATAACATCGACTTCAGATGCTGCTGGAAGTTTGTCCACCACTCCTGTTGAGGTGCAAATACAAGTAGATTCCGGGCAAAATCCGTGGCCACATGCGAATTCACAAAGATCCCCGGAATTGACGCTCTTGTCTGCTCCGGAGGTACATCCGGTAGCGCCAGGCTTCGGTGTCGCTGGTGGAGCGTTCAAGTCATCTGTTGTGAAAGACTGCAAATCAACGGCCCAGTCTATGGTCCCCGCAAAGTTCAGCCCCTTCCATTCAGTTCGCCTTGTCTCCTTTAATGCTGTAGACATATAGCTCACGTAGTCCCCTGCAATACCATCAGCATCAGAGTCGAATTAACCCATCTTCAAACAAGCAAGGCGGATTTTCAATGTACCTTGATAAAGCATCACGTTTGAATCGGATCCCGTATCACGGAATGCTTGATCACTTTGGCCATTCTTGATGATCTCGTTGATTTCTGCGTAGGCAAGATACCCTGGTGCCTTGGTACAGCGTCCAGGTTTCGCATCTGACTTAAGCCTAGAGCCAGTGAAATCGCAGGTTGGTCCCCAGCACCCATTCACAGCCATGTGGAAAGCTCTTCCATAGCTGGCTTCGCCGACGAAAATCTTGTTGTTTGGCACGCCAGCCTTCGTGACTATGGCATCTTATTAACTTTGATTCAGCCGGGCAGTACCAGACAGGTATACTTACGCATCGCAAGAGAGTTTCTAGTCTCAGTTATGTTGACTAGGGTGTCGTATTTAGCAAAACATGCGTGAATCATACGTGGAAAGATGGGCTCTCACCATGACTGCGAATACATTTGCCCGACGGACACATGTCAAACGCATTCGCGTTCCCGTAATCCCATTGGCCGTGTAAATCATAAGTCATATAGACAATGTAGTCGATAACCGCACTAATCCTGTCAATGGGGAAGGCCTTGAGGTACCAATATGAAGCCGGTGCTGCGATTGATACAGACTTTCCCGAGCCCAGTTTCTGTTTCAGTAAGGTGAGGAAACTAAGGTAATCGGCACCATCAGACTTTTGACCGATTGGCTGGCCGTTAACCAGAATATCCGGTGCCTAACATGTGGAATTGATTAGAGACTGGGTGTGAACGACAGCGCAGCGGTTTGAAAGGCAGGAGAATACATGTACTCACACCAGGATATTCCCAGTCAATGTCAATGCCATCAATACCTTCATCCTTAATAAATTGAGCAATATTCGTGGTAAATGCATTCTTGTTAGTGATGATGGCTTGTCGGATAATATTGTACGTTGCTGCTTCGGTCGAATATGCCCAGCCACCAACGGACACAATCCTCTTCACATTGGGCAACTTCTTAAAGTCTGCCCATTGACCTTTGGTATCATTAATGACGAGCTTCCAGGTACTCGAGTCGATTGTGGCAAAGCCCCAGTGAATATGCGTGTAACTGCCGTCGGTGTTTGCATTTTTGGCCTTTAGCCAGAGGCAATCTCGATCAAGCCCAAAAGCCTCGTAATATCCAATCCGCTGAAATGTTGTAGGAGGGCCCGAGTTTGATTTGATCTTGTTACCGCAGTTTGAGACACATGTATTCTGAAAGCCCTTGTCCTTGGCTCCGGGACCGCCGCCTGCAGGAGCGTGAATGTCACAGTGAGCAGGGAAAACACCGCAGAAGCCCCAATTGCTGCAGCATGCTTTGAGGGGGCATGGGTTAAGCTCCGCAATTGAAGTGGTGTTGTCTGCCGGCAGTTTCGTGCCAGCAACCAAGGGACCGCACTCTGCACCGGCTTGAGGGGGTGGAAGTGGTGCCCTGCCCGTGCTCAGGCACATATTATAACCAACAAGCATGTCTTTACACACAGTCCAAGCCCAAGTTTTGCCTTGGTTGAACTTCTCAATATCGGCAGTCGTGATGTTGTTTTTCTTGGCCAGATCGTCACACGAATCGCCGTTCACAATGAGATGTGTCGCACAAGTACCATCAGGATTTGGCTGAGGCTTAGGTGGTACGAACGGGGTACCAGCTGAGCAGCATATATAGCCCCCTGCTTTAAGAGAAGAACAAAGAGTGGACGAGGGGTTGTATTTTGTAAAGTCGGCAGGCGATATGCCACATCGAGTGGCGAGGGACGGACAGCTGTCTCCCTCGTTGACTTGTAGATAACGACAAGTCGCTCGCTTGTCCAATATGCTATCAGCATGTTCGTCTTTTTTGTAAAGCCAAGATGCTGCCCTGGATGCCAACGATGAGTTTCTTGCACCGCTGAAAGTGCTGTTGGAACCTCCAATGTCCAGCACCTTGACATCAGCAAGGTTGCCTGCGACAATGAGGTCTCCTGTTGCAGCGCAGATGCCCTTGCTCCAGTCCAATGCCGTCTTCTGAACAGCTGCGAGATTGCCAGTCGTGTCAACTGAGATACCAAGGGTTCTCGCAGGTATACGGCCGCGACCGCAGAGTTGAGCGACCGTGTAATCAGAGATGGAATCGCTGTCCAGCAGCTTCGCAGCCAGGCTTTTCAACGCAGAGCCAATAGTCGGCTTGCCAAGACCGGGGCCGATATAAACGCTTGCGACGGCTTGTTTGTGGTAGGCAAAAAGAAAGTTCTCATCGCAGTTATCTTTAGCCTTGAAGAATTCGCCCATGCTCTCCAACAAGCCAGCAACTTCATAGCCATTGCCTTTGCCGCTGCTGCTCTTCGCAAGCGCAAGCTTATCGTCAACTTCGAAGCCATCAATAACACATGCTGGAGAGTTTTTGAGGCTTCCACCTCCATACTGATTACTTGTCTTCTTGGGATTTTGTATCTTGGGTACAGACCCCTGGAAGGAAGTCTCCTGCGAACCAAGTGTGCAGCTTCGTATAAGGATAGTTGAATCCGGGTCATCAAGTGGCTGTGTAACAGAGAATTGCAACAGCATGGGCTCATTGCAGCGCTTCAGACGGTCCACAGACAAATATGGCGTCCAGGTATGTGTATTTGCAAAGTCAATACACGGGAGTGGACAATCATATTGGTCGGGGTGGTAGGTGTTGATGTCGCCAATAGGTGAAGGGTCGTCTTCAGTTACTGGCTCCACGGCTTGAGATCCGTCAATATTGATGGCAGAGCGCACAAAGCCAACTCCCCAGAGTACCAAGGAGGCAGCAGACCTCCTAGCCAGCCACATCTTGGCTTGGGTAAACTTGAAGGAGACTATGCGATGAGCTTAAGATTCTCCTACAGTACTCCTAGTATAAACTACAACATTGACGGCGAACATATATATATGTATATATATACTAGATATATATATAGGGCTTTCAAACTACATCTCTGACTTACAGAATTTGGAAAAGGTTCGAAAACAGATACTCTAATCGTGCAAGCCTTTCTGCAGCAACCGTTCTGCAGCAACGGCATGCCAAGAACAGACTCCATCACCTATACTCCACAGCTTATGTTACATGGGCTGGTGAAATAGCCTCGTTCCAAAGACTACTCCGTATATCCGGAAGAATTCAAGGCAGTAATATGATGTTGGTGATTCGACTCCGACTGAGACTCGGACAAATCCACAAGTTGCTCAGCAGAGAGACTCATGCGAATTCGGAATGTCAGTGTATACCGGGATGTCCATAGTTGCAGTGAAAAATTTCCAAGCCAAGCCACAACTATCGCCAAGCCAACAGCACGAACTACCACCCCGGTCAAGACAAGGACATGACTCTTGTTCAGCAATTAGCAGGAGTGTTTGTTCTTGGCGGCCAACCAACAGCATTCAACGGATAGTGGGCTTACTGTACTGACTGGCTCTCACATATGAAGCTGCTGAGTCTGGCTCTACGAACAGTTTCGATATCTTTCATGTTGATTTACTCTTTCCAGCAGGACAACTGAATCCTACAGGATCAAGTTGAGCCACGTACTTTGCCGGGCCTAAAACCCGCTTAAATTAAGCTTGTAAATCAGAGTTATTTTGTCACGCCCAAAGCCCTCTTTTCATTGGCCCGTACTTTTTGTTGTTGGTTGCAAGCTTCAACGGTCTACTTCGGCCCATTGCCTTTTTTGATAGGTACTTTATCACCCTCATCTCCCCTCCATCCCCTAGTCTAGATTTTTTTCTCTATTGCATTGCCCCCTCAACAACCCGAGGATGCCGCAGCTTTCCGAAATTACTTACTCTCGCGAGGAGTGCATCTCTGCAATCCGCGGGTACTACGACTTCCTGACCAAACTGTACCTCAACGAATCGGACGTCATTGAACCCCCAGCGGAAGGATGGCCGGAGATTACAACCTCAATCATGCAGCTCTTGGGCAAGACAGATGAAGTGATCTCACTACTCCGCCATTTGCCATACATTCAAAAGCCAAGCAACGACATGTACTGGGCTCAAGGAACACCGCATTGCACTTTTGCCGATTGGCGGAACATCTGCCATCACATAAGCCAGGACCCGAGTCGCGGCGAAGACTACAAGCTAGTTACGGAAAGCGTGTCCATATATGAGAATGTCCCTCCTCACGTTATAAGTCTCACGAATAGCGGACGGGACGAGCCAGTCTATTTGCTTGATACAAAGCTCGGCATCGTCCTGTGGTTCGAATGCCCCGGGGAGATCAAGTACAACCCTTCACGAGAGTTGGTTCATGATGACCCATACACTTACGAAGAGGACATGGCCCAGGCCGAATGGCGTGGAGATAGTGCCGCATGGACTGTGCCGGATTTCTTTGAGACCCTCAAGGACCAATGGCGCGAGCTTAACTTTATTCCGATTAGCCCTTGGTCGGCGGTGGAAATCTATACTGGTTATGGCCTGGAAACGGAGGGAATGATAAAAATGCTGCAGGGTATCTATAGGGAACAAGGGTGGCCGGACATGGACAAATATCGCAAAGTGGAGTGTCTGAAAGCAGTGCACAAGGCCCTAAAGGAACGTTACCCAGGCAGGGCAGACTATATCTATGGAGACAAGGAATAAGAATGGCGTTGGTTCATATTTGATAGTTGGTTGTTGATAGTAGTTGGTTGTTGAGTATAATCACAAGGCTTTCATTCTCCTCTCCTTTTCCGGTAGTTTGCCATTCCTTCTAACTCACTCACACACACACTCTCTCTCTCTCTCTCTTTAATTCATCACCATCTCACTCTTACATTTTTCCTACTCGATTTCTGTCGTGTAAGACGAGCCGTCGGCAATACATACACGCACGGGCTAAAGATACCGCATGTGAAACCAAATGCTCAAGAAGAGGATTTCTTATTAACACTACAGAGCACACAGTGGTCGAATTCTTTGCCTGCATAACTGCTACCTGAAGCTTGATTATTCCTCCAGCTTTGAACCACGGACACACCTAGTCGCCTTTACAAAGTCAAACAGAAGAAAACATGAAGCCTACGACCGCCATCATCTTTCTTCATGCCAGTGCCGCCTCGGACTCCTTGCTAGATACAATCTTGCCAGCCAATCCGCCTACTATCACAAGCGAGGCATGGCAGTGCACCACTGAGATGCTGCCGCAATACTTCGACCCCCCAAAGCCCACGGGGGCCCTCCTCACCGCAATTCTATCATACGGCGACGAGATACAAAAAGGCTGCAAGCCTACTGAAACAGACATTTATGGCTTGCCGGAGTGCACATTTCCCCCGTCATCGGTTTGGTGCGGCTTTTCCACCGCTGTTCCCTCGTCTCTCGTGTCGACATATTCAGCCTATGGCAGTGTGGCGTCGTCATGGTGGTCCGCACGTAGCTCAACTGCTGTGGAACTCGCCCGAAGCTGCCCTATTGGATGGTACCAGGCCATGTTTGATATGCCTGGAGGACCAGGATGGCTCAATACCACTTTGGTCTTCGCTGGCTGCTACGAGGAGGCACACCATACGACCGGATCTTCGACCAAAGCGGCTGCTACCGCGACAACTGGCTCCAAAGCAACCTCAAGTGGTCCCAAGCCGACGAAAACGATGACGACAAGCTCAGCCACTTCCACAACCAAAGCAAACAATGTGGTCGGCCGAGCGGAGAGTGTCGAGTTGTGGATGGTTGCTGGTACCGGACTGGCCGTCACCGCGATCAACTCGATGCTCTAAGCTGAACTGCGATGATATCGAGTGAAGTACCAAGTGTTAATAATACTCGTTGTCGATAAACCGTTGAATATGGAGGTTGAATTTAAGATCAAGATGAGAGGTTCAACAATACTGTAACAACTAGTTCAATAAAAGGCTATGCCCCAGCCCTTGAAAACCGTCGAATACACATCAATTTTTCATTTTTATTTTTATCTTTTTAATTCTATAGACAAAGTAGAAATGCAAAAGCTTCATTTATCTTGCAATGAGTGCATATAGGCTTCGCAGTATATCCAAGCAAACTGTTCATACACTGCTATAGGTTAGCCAGCCTCCACACGTAAGTTGGAGTGACGGAGTTGAAATGAATGGATAGAATCAGTTATTAATTATATTCTTGAAGCAACATCGCGTCCCTGGCCAAATGAAGCTGGCATTCGTATTTCAACAGGGGTTGGTTTTTATTCAGATGGTCGTCAATCATACTCAATTTTAATTATAGATCTAGATCTGTGGCAAAATTTGAGACAAAGCCGCCAAAAATCAGCACGCCCTAAGAAGAGCCAAAGAGCGCATCAGAAGCCGAGAAAGGAAGGCGGTGTGCAGTATTTCCAAATCAGGACATGCTGGAACATAGCAAGTTACCTGAAGCACCTCTAGCCGCATTATTTAGGTGGCTGACATCATCCGAGCTTGGCATGTTCTCATGCGACTATACGGAGCAGAATGCTATAAATCCCGTAGAGATGCCCTCCGGCTGACTGGATCGCTTCGGGCTCCAGGCTGTAGTCAAGGGAAGGATACCTAGTAGATATACAGGTATTATACTGCAGAATTAACACCTGGAACATAAATTACACGCATATCTGGCCACCATGGGCTCGACTCTCAGCGCCGCCAGCGCGGTGCCCGCAAAGCACTTCCACGTCAAGAAAGTCGCCATCATAGGCGCCGGCCCGGCTGGTCTGGCCGCTGCCCGATACCTCAGAGCCCAAGGCGCCTTCGACTCCATCACCATCTTCGAGCAGCAGCACCAGGTCGGCGGCGTCTGGCTCTACAGCGGCCTCATCCCCAAGGATGTGCCCGTGCCGCAGCAGGATCCCTTCTGGGGCCCGGAGCCGTCCATCTGGCCCGACGGCGCTCCGGCCCCGGTGTTTCCGTCGCCCATGTATGAGAGGCTGCATGCCAATATCCCGGGGTGCTTGATGCGGTTTCATGATCGCGATTTTCCGGGTGATGCTTGGGTGTTTCCTAAGAGGCAGGAGATTCAGGAGTATCTTGTGCGGTATGCAGAGGATCTGAGACATCTCATCAAGTTCTGCCATGAGGTGACGCGGGTTGACTTGGAAACCCAGAATGGAAGAGATCAGTGGCATCTAGAGGCAGTCTCGACGTTGAATGATGGCCAGGTTATTCGCGAGACATACGATGCCGTTGTCGTCGCAAATGGGCATTACTCGGTACCCTTCATACCGTCCATCAAGAGGATTGAAGAGTTCAAGAAGGCTCACCCCTCCATTATTATTCATTCAAAGCAGTATCGAAAGAATGATATATTCAAGGGAAAGAAAGTCGTCGTCGTCGGCAATGGGCCTTCGGGCCTCGATGTTGCACTCCAGATCAATGAAGTTGCTGGCAGGACGCTCTTGTCAGTAAGACACGCAACATCGCCCGACAAGCTCGCTCACATCGGCTGCGAAGAAGTCCCCGAAATAGTCGAATTTCTGCCAGATGAGCGCGGTCTTCTTTTCAAAGACGGAAGCGGAGAGAAGGATATAGATCACATCGTTTTTTGCACGGGGTTCTTATTCGGCTATCCCTTCCTCCCGAATCTCAACCACAAGATTATAACGTCTGGGCGTGGCGTCCACGGTTTGTATCAGCACTTGTTCCTCATTCAGCACCCGACGATAGTTTTCCCAGCTCTCAATATGAAATCTGTACCGTGGCCCCTGGCGGAAGCGCAAGCGGCGGCTTTCTCGGCGGTATGGGCCAACGACCTGGAGCTGCCCTCGGACGACGAAATGCAGCGGTGGAGCAAAGAGCTGGAAGAGAGACAAGGAGAAGCATTGCACACGTATCCAGAGCTGGGGGATGATGGCAAGCACATCAATGAGTTTTACGAGTGGACGAAGAAGGCGAAACGTATTGGCAAGGAGCCGCCGCGATGGGGTGCCGAGCTTTTCTGGCAGAGGTCCATTGCTATGGAAGCCAAGATCAAGTTTGAAGACGAGGGGTGTAAAGCCAAGACGCTGGCCGAGCTTGGCTTCCACTATGAGCCTGGCAAGGAGCAAGTAAATGGGATAGAGGCAAGTAAAAAATAAATAGACAAAAGAGAGGGGGGAACATTAGACATCAGAACATCTAAATAAAGAATTTTGATTCATGTAGAAGCTCGTTCCTTTGTACCTAGTGAAATATCATTTGACAATCACTCATGTCGTACTCAATACAGCATGCACGGTCTAATAACATTGGGAAGGGAAGAAATGGCCAAGAATCATCAGAACGATGATGATTCGTATAAATCACATTTGTTTTAAGACACACGCTGTTAATAGTCAAATCTCTTTTCGTTCTTTTCATTCAAAGAGCTCAACCTTCCAGAAGCCGTTACGCCTCGATATGAAACCATGATATAACCCTCCTCCGAAAAACCCAAGTTTTTGACTTGCTGCACACCCAGAAAGTCAGAGAATTTATGCCTGCTTCTTCTGGGCCTCCTGAGAGAAGACCTTAGCATAGGGGTTCAGGCGCAGAAGAACCTGCTTGTTGCGCAGAGGGTTCTTCTTCTGGACGGCAGATCGTCGGGTGACAGCATCGCCCTTGGGAGCGTTGAGGGAGCTCTGGATTTCGCTGCTGTTGATCAGACGAGTAAGGTCGGCCTGAGAAACAACGTTGGAAGGCAGGAGGAAGTCCTTCTTGTGGGTGGAGGCAGTGGTGGTGGTGCCGTAGATCTCGTCAAGAGCCTTGAAAGCAGCAGAGGTCCAGATGACGAATCGGCCGAGGTGACCACCAGGGGCGAGCTGGAGGAGGTTGAGGGCAGAGACGGGGGAAGTCTCAACACCGGGGATGTTGCGGAAGCCCTTGACGAGCTCCTTGCCATCGACCTCAGGGTTGTAGACAACCAGAGGACCACGGCGCTGGCGGTGGCGGCGGCCACGGAGCTTGCCCTTACCGGCACGGAGCTTCTTGGAGCCCTTGACCTTCTCGAGCTCGGCACCGGCGCCAACAGCGTTGAGGAGGGCGAGAGCGGCAGAAGTGCGGGCGACAGAGCTGCCCTCAACGAGAGCGGAGTCGACAACCAGGGGAACCTCAGGGATGGTCATGACCTGGTGGCCACGGGCAAGCAGAAGAGGAGCGGAGGCAGAGGCAGCCAGGGCGGAGCAGGTAGCATAGCGCCTAAAGTTTTTTCCCCCCATGTTAGTTATTCCATGACCCTCCAAAATAGAAACACTGGGATATCTCCCGGGAAACAAGAATTGACTGACTTCTGGCCCTGGTTGACCTTGACGTGCCACTTGCGCCAGATCTTGGTAGGGGCAAACATGCGACCAGATCGGCACATGTTACCAAAGGCGGCCTGACCAGCACGGTGGGTACCGGAACCAGAGACACGGGGGATACGGGCAACAGCACGACCTATTCAATTCAACCCAGTCAGTTACGGTCCGTCCTGATCTTTTCCATGGTATTGAGAGCAACATTTCAACATGGTCGGACCAGAGAGAAGGCGAGAAAATTTTCCCAATCCTCCACCAGTCCTCCCACCCTGATTGCCATCTCAAACTCTCCCCCACGGCCACGCATAAAACTCACCAGTTCCCCAAGACTCGGCAGAGGTCTGGTGACCAGCCTTCTCGCTGACGGCATAAGGCTGGCGCTTGTTCTTGGCCATGCCAGTGTGAACCTGCTTCACGATATCCGGTCGGATAGGGCTGGCGAAGACGGCGGGAATGGTGTGGGTAGCTCCAGAGGGAGCACCATCCTTGCCGATGATAGAGACGGTAGGTCGAGAAGCCATTGCGAAGGTAGGACTAGGACCTAATGGAAGGGACGAGAGTTAGCAATTTCGAAAGGGAAGCCAAATCTGTATTCAGGGCCAGGCACAGAGCGCAACATACCGTGGTCGTCGGGGCGTCGAATTTGGCGATGGGGATGGAAAGTTTCTGGCGGACCCGCGATAAATTTCACTGAATTTTCCTTCCAAGGATTTGGTGGGCGGAGACCCTAAGCGGTGGGGTACGTACCTTAGCGAGTTGGATTGTGCTTCACGTGACTCTATCCCTGACATTGAAAACCAAGCGGGACCTGGTCTATGCCTCATTGGGATATCGCTTGAATGCTTAGTAAGGCGAGGAGGTATGTCGTCACAAGCTTCACGTCAAGAACTGCAGGTTCCAGTAATAATATCCAAGATTTATTTAATCTATGGTCATCATGTCATATCGTTATCATGTTCGGTGCTACTCTATAGATGGCATCTTCGTGATATGAATCTCGCTATGCATGTTTCGGTGCATCAAGTACCCAAAAAAAAAAAAAAAGAAAAAGAAAAATGAAAGGAGTCTTTTGCCTGTCCATTTATTCCCATCTCTTCCACTCCCTACTCAGCTTGTCAATCTGTTCGTCCGTCCATGCGCTATTACGCTTATCTCTGACGAGACCGAGAAATTTGGCGTGTACGTCCTTCTCGATCTTCAATCGCTCTCGAACTTTTGCCTCGAGATATTCGGGATCCTTGTTCCTGCAGGCCCTCTTGAAAATTTCTCTCATCCTAGGAGAATAGAGCTGGCAAGTGGCAACGGGCAGCTTCGTGGGCTTCATGTAAAAGTTTTGGGCAATCACATTATCTTCCGTGCGCTGAGGCCGAACCACATCTTCATAGCATTCCCCACAAACGGTGAAATCTGGTAGATACTCCATCACATACCAGTATCCATCGCTCACGCGGCGGTCCTCGCGGCACTCGTTCAGAGTGCTCAGCCGTGTAAGCATCATGGATAAATCGCCGTAGTCTGGCTTTTTGTTGGTCACATAGCTCTTGTCCGACGTGGTTTCAAAGGCATCGAAGAAGAGCACGAATTGCTTTCTTTGGGGCGTGAAGTGAAGAGAGCAGACATTTCGCGACGGGTCGCCTCGAGAATCAAGTGGGATAAAAACGCCGGTAAGATTTGGAAACAATGTCTCCACCGTCTTTGCACATTGATAACATACTGCAAATTCAGGTACAGGTCGCCTCGTGTAGGGGTCTTTGACAGTATACCAGACTCGTGTTACCTTTCGTTCCAGCGGGCACGGATAGTCGCGAGACTCCATCATGATGGTTGCGAGATGATGAAACAGCTGCAGGTCTGGCACTTTGTGTTTCAGCGTGAGTAGCCAGGCGATCCGATACCATGGTGATGAGCCAAAATCGCATGCAATTGGGTTACCAGTCGGCCGTAGCACTGGATGAAAATGGGTTCGAAATTGGGTTTCTGCAAACACGGCACCGTAACAATCAGGGCAGATGTTGAAATCCGTCCTAGGAAGTGTAAGCCAGTCCATCTTGCCTGCTACTGGCACCGTGCGCTTGCACTCTGGTATATTTGGAAGATCTGATTGCCCTTCGTGACCTCTGGTCTCAGAATAGCGCCGGTATGACCCGACTGTTTGGTCTGGACGCACCCCAGATTTGTTGGGATCAAATGGGGGAGGCTGCCAAGGTTTTGTTACCACAGCTGGCTCTTTGGGGGACGGTGATCTAACAGACTTGTCATCCGGGGCGACAAGCTCGTCGTCGATTTGAGGGATGGGAGGCATCAAGACAGATGTCGCGCTAACCGCCTGCGCTTGCCGCCCATCGTCTCCCTCTGCTGATGCATCCGGCCAGGCGACAATAGCATCATCATCGTCTGGATAAGGAAGGTAAATCGCTGGAGGGGTTTTATGTTCCTGTGAAGTCTTGTCGCGGCCGATTGGAAAGGTAGTGGAAACGCGGCGGTTCGGTACCCAGTCATCTGGCGGTTCAGCTGAGTTCGCCGACACCAAGGGCATGGTAGGAACTCTTGAAGGAGAGCGAGAGTTTTGGCTACTTGCATCGCCTCTGCGCGATGACGCAACAGAGATGCGGTCGTCATCAATGATGACGGGGTTCTCTCTCCTGTAAGACGCGCCGAAGGCTTCATCCCGCGGGGAATTCTGGTCCTTGAACTTGGATGGAGACGGAGCTCTCAAGTTGTCGACAGGAGATGACTTATAGGCCGCATGGCCGCCCTCTCTCAGGTCGTCTCGAGGTGGTCGGTTGCCATCTAGCGGTCGAGGTCCATTGATGCGGTCATTCGATGTAGGTCTCCGGGATGCTTCGAAGCTTGAATTTGGCCTCTCGGCTGACACTGTCGCGCTTCGTCTATGGTACTTGTCGTCATCCCATTTCTTGTCATTTGGTTCTCCCAGACTGACGCTACTCTGGGTAGGTGGCTGGCCATATCCATAATACGTCTTATCCCGACCACTCGACCCATGCTTGGTTACCTGCGGCGAAAGATATTCTTCCCCATACTTGCGGTATGACTGGGCGAACTCCGGGCGGATGCCACTAGCAGCAGATTTGCTTCGGTGGTGGCTTGGTATCCGGTTCTCCTCTATATCTGTCTCCAACCGAGGTAACTCCTGTCTGCTTCCACGTCTCTCTAATCTCGGAATAGCGTCACCAAGGCGATCGGAGTCCTTCTTTTCAGGTTCGTTGGTCTTTCGGGTATATGCTTCGGGCGAAGGAGAGGCGGATGCCTTCTTTCTCTCTTTCTTCTTTTCCTTCTCCTGGCGAAGCTTGTCTCTGGATGCGCCGTCATCAGTCGCACTCTCCGACCCCGGCACAATAACAAAGCGACGCTCAGGGTTGAACTCATGGACTTCTAGCATAAGTGGCTGCTGGTCAATTTCTCCTCTTGATTGGGGCTCTTCTTCCAAGACAGGTTTGACGCGGCCACCAAACTCCTTGGCGAGTGACTCAGCTTCATCTTCAACGGTTGGCGGGGGCAGGATTGAGCGGCGCCGATGCGGAATGTCGTCGTAGTATCGAGGCGCGATGCGAGAGACGGGTGGTTCAGTCGATTCGTATGAGCGCCCAGGGCGAGTCGAGGAATCGACAGATGCTCTGTGTGGATTACCGTGGTCAGTATTTGCGTCCAGAAGAGGTGCAGGCAGGCAGCCGGGGATCAGCGCAGCATACGAGTGGCCATGCCTTGCTCTCGACGTGGTGAAGTACCCCGTCTGGAGTATGTCATGGATATCGAGAGAGTTGCTCATCTTGAGCCGTCGCCAGATGGTAAATCCTAGATCACCAGGGGAAAGGACCTGCGACAGGCTCGGTTGGATGCCAGACCAGGGCGTCGATGCGACGCGCCACAAATTGGTCGGCCTGACGCCAATGTGAGCTGCGTCGCAGGGCCCGCGATCGAGCTTGGATAAGAGCCCGTACTGGGATCCAATGGTGAGGCAGAGGTCCGCTGGGCAAGCTGGCAAAAAACCCACTGCAACGGGCCTCTGGAGAGTAAACAAACGATCTTGGTGGAAAGTGAGGTCAGGATGGTTTGGCAGAAAACCCACCAGACGTCAGCGGTGCTTTGCTTTAAGATGATCCGAGGCCATCAAATGACATCGTGGTGGGGTCTGGGCTGTTATATTCTAGCGGCCTGGCGGCCCGCTTTGAGGGGTCCCGAGTGCTATAACTGCCTGCTGGGTACCTGTAGCTTGTTGCCACTCGTGCCCAACCCTTACCCTACCAGGAGCTCGAGATGCCTAAATGGCCGATGCTGCTTCTGGCGCTTCGAATGCGTCTATCTGTATCTTACAGGGCTGTGCATGGGGGGTAATGAGAGTTTCGCTGGTTGCAGAAAGATAGCTAGGCTTTCCCCGTGTTGTGGCCCTGTCAAGGCGTGAGTTGTGGCCGATCGAGTTGGCTCGCCTGCTACAACCAACAAGCTGTGAAACTGAGACCATCTTGGCCCAGATTTCCCCCATTCTTGGACCACCGCATTCTTATGCGCCAAGCTAGCCACACAGGATATCGACGAATCATGCAGCTTGCTCTAGTTCTCCTCAACTGCTGATTGCGAACATGGCAGGCTCTGGGGGTTTCTATCTTGTACTTCCCCGCCCGACATTCTATTCGCCGATGCCCGTAGGGTGACGTACAGGGTAACTTTGGTAACGGCGCGAGCGTTTGATCAGCGTCGAAGCTCTTCTTCCTTGGTTAGTTGACGCATTTGCCATGTTGTCTGCATTCTGCTATCAAGCCTCGTGCCTACTGTAAGAAGAGCATTGCCCGTGTTGTGGCGAGGCCGCCGAGTCAAACACACTCAAGTATAAGAAGTGCTGCGGTGGGGCTCTGCCGTGAGGCTCTTTTGGAGGCGCACTTGCAATGCTTCCATACTGGGACAGTTAAAGTCTCCATAACAATACCACCTACTACATATTGCGCCTCTATACTCTTATTGGAATCTGCCAGGTAGTACCTAGGAAGCTCTAGGTAGGTACGCAGCACACCATCTCGACTCAAGACTCACGACGTCTACGGCTCCCTCTTGCTCATGTATGTGTATTTATTATTTCATCTGTCATATTAGGTACGTCGTTATTATTGCGCCACTCTCAACAGACCGTAGCGCGTACATTAGGTATAGACATTTTGTAAAGTAATGCGTGATAAGGCCACCTTGGCCAGATCCATCCCAACCCGCCCTTTTTTGAGCACCCAGTGTTTCTAGGCACAACCCCATCATGGTTCCTCAACAGTTTGGCGTGCGTGAAACAAGTCGCCCCTGGAGGTAAATGCACGAGGCTAGTCATACCCGTGTTCGTTTTGCTGGCCCATCCAGTCTGCCCGTGCTTACTCCAGGAGATCCCGAATATCCTCGTCAGACTCTTCCTCATATCGTCGCCTCTCCTCAGCTTCCAGCATCTTCCGCAGCATCTTCCTCTGCCTGACTCGTGCCTTAGAGCCCCAGTCGGCGCTGGTTCCGTCGGCACCCTCATCAGCGTCCACGTCAAGCTCTGCTCCAGCGTTCAGGCCACGCAGATCGTTGGGCGACATTTTGGCCACTGCCTCTTTGGCCTCCGCCTTGTCCTTTTCATCCTGTTTTTCCAGCTGCTTGACGGCGTGCTTGGTGGAGTATTTGATGACATGTGGCCGTATCAGCAGGTATGTGCAGACAATCATGACGAGGCGAAGCCAGCCGTGTGTTGTCATGTCACCAAAGCTCTTTTGGATGTTGTTGGAGGCATTCTGGCCGTACTGAGATAACTGGGAAACAACAGAGCCCAATGCGTTCAGGGTAGCTTGGCCAGCGCCGTCCTGCTGGGTTGATTGAGAATCCATGGTGTCAAATGTGTATAACTCTCTTAAAAGGGGCGTAGAAGAATAAAAGGGACGCAGAGCCTTTGCGGCGGTGGGTGAGAATTTTTTGCTCAAGGAGATGTATGTATAGCTGAGAGAATGAAAGAGGTCTCTTTTGGTGGTATACAAAGAGTATATGTACTCGAGAATGAGAGGAGATGACCTTTTTGTAGGCAATGATGAAGTATGTTGAGAGTTCAAAAGGCAAACTTCCAGAGGGCGGACGGAAGTTTTTGTTGGACACCGACAAGGCAAATTCCTTAGTGAAGACGGCGTGCCCCGGACTATTTCTCCGAGACTGCCGGTTGGATCTGGCGGGCCCGATTGGCCCGATTGAGCGCCATTTAGAGACTTGACAATAGTAAGAGCTTTTCGAGGAATCTGCCAAAGGGGTTGATCAAGAAATAAGTAAATGGAGTGATAATTGATAATTATATATATATAAATTTTCGTATTCTTGCTGATTGCTTTCTTTATTCAAAACTTGAGAGTTGAGTGCAGCCCATTTTTCATCAATAAAAGTCCTCTGATGTCCGCGAATTCTTGACCGCAAACTCATTGCATCCAAGTCTTTACGGCATCGCCGTGAGTGACATTTGCGCTTTTTTTTGCCCCCCTTTCTTAATCAGCAACGACCTGAAAGATTAAATCAATAGGCAGTCTTCCTGTCGTATAGATTTTGAAATAAGATCAATCTGAATCGCGAATGGCTTATTGTAGAAGATGGCGCGTCTCAGTGCAAGTTACCTAAGGTACTGTATGATTGACAGCGTATTACCTTAGTACCTTTTCGTAGCCTTCTTTACGTGTATTTGCACAAAGTACAGCGCTCAATCACGTGATGCTCTCTATACTGGTAGCATGTATCCAATTGGCATAGCGCAAAAGCTCTCAATGCTGGGTGAGCTCACAAAAATTTCGTCTGCACTTGGCACCCCAGAACGCCTGATCCGGCGCTGTGCAATTTTCCCCTCCCCCACCGTCCAAATATTTTTTTCCTTCTCTTCTTTGGTCTGGCATTGTGCATTTAATATCAGCGGCGCAACATGTCGACGGCATTCAGATCAATTGCTCCGTTTCTGCGGACGGCCCGGCATGGCCTCAAGGCCGGCAGCGTCAACCCGCTGCAGGCTGCGCTCAAGAACAACCGAAGTGCCGCTGGTGTTCTCAACCTCGCTCGCACGTACGCTGTTTTTGAGCGAACCAAGCCGCACGTGAACATCGGTAAGACGTCGTTTGGCTTGAGTTGCGGGAGGATTCTGGTGTTAATAGGGATTCTGCCATAGGTACCATTGGTCACGTCGATCACGGAAAGGTCAGTTTACTACAACCTCTTAAAAGATCGGCTATATGCTGTCTAAGCGATTTTATATTGACCAAGTTCCGCAACTATAGACCACTCTCTCTGCTGCCATCACCAAGAGACAGGCTGAGAAGGGCCTGGCAAACTTCCTCGAGTATGGCGCCATTGACAAGGCCCCCGAGGAGCGAAAGCGAGGTATCACCATTTCTACCGCCCACATTGAGTACTCAACAGACAACCGCCACTACTCCCACGTCGACTGCCCTGGTCACGCCGATTACATCAAGAACATGATTACTGGTGCTGCCAACATGGACGGTGCCATCATTGTCGTTGCTGCCTCCGACGGTCAGATGCCCCAGACCCGTGAGCACTTGCTGCTTGCCCGACAGGTCGGTGTCCAGAAGATTGTTGTCTTCGTCAACAAGGTCGATGCCATTGACGACCCTGAGATGTTGGAACTTGTCGAGATGGAGATGCGTGAGCTTCTCACCACCTATGGCTTCGAGGGAGACGAGACCCCCGTCATCATGGGTTCTGCCCTGATGGCTCTCCAGAACCAGAAGCCCGAGATTGGTGAGCAGAAGATTGACGAGCTGCTCAAGGCCGTCGACGAGTGGATCCCCACCCCCGAGCGTGACCTTGACAAGCCCTTCCTCATGTCTGTCGAGGATGTCTTCTCCATCTCTGGTCGTGGTACCGTCGTTTCCGGCCGTGTCGAGCGTGGTGTCCTCAAGCGTGACGAGGAAGTCGAGCTTGTCGGTAAGGGAGTCGATCCCATCAAGACCAAGGTTACCGATATCGAGACCTTCAAGAAGTCTTGCGAGCAGTCCCAGGCCGGTGACAACTCTGGTCTCCTCATCCGTGGTATCCGCCGTGAGGATGTTCGCCGTGGTATGGTCGTCTGCAAGCCCGGCACTGTCAAGTCGCACAAGCAGTTCCTCGCCTCCCTCTACGTCCTCACCAAGGAGGAGGGTGGCCGTCACACCGGTTTCCACGAGCACTACCGACCCCAGCTCTACCTGCGTACCTCTGACGAGTCTGTCGATCTGACATTCCCTGAGGGCACCCCCGATGCCGCTGGCAAGATGGTCATGCCCGGTGACAACGTCGAGATGGTTGTCACCCTGACCAACCCCAATGCCATCGAGGCTGGTCAGCGATTCAACATCCGTGAGGGCGGCAGGACCGTCGCCACTGGTCTGGTCACCCGCATCATTCAGTAAATGTAACGATTAAAACAACCCTGGAACAGCGTGGAGTTGTTGGAACGGAAAAAATAAAAACGGTTGGGAAACTGGGCTGGATGCATCCAAGAAATGCACATGTTAAACTTGGTCACAGGTCCCGCGTTTGAGCCAAAATTGAGCTCGTGTATAAGTTGTAGGAGGAAGTGGGTACAAAAATCTCCGCTTTGCTTCTTCCTTAATGTCTTGATATATGATGTACTTTAGACGGAGGGTTGGAGGCAGAAATAGAAATGCAAACAAAAAACCCTTTTCTAATTTACTGGTTCCAAATCGTAAGATGTCAACCGCTTCGCCCTTGGGAGACGTTAGGGAGAAAAATGGAAGGGGGTGGCTAGGATGAAATGTCGCGGACCAATTCACTCATGTATGCGCATCCTGTTTAATGGAGAAACAAATGTCTGTCACTTCGGCAGGACAGCCTACGAGAGCTGCGACGGGCAATAAGAGTAGAAAAAAACTTTTCGGTCCATGGCATTCATAGGTCTTCATCTCGTCATCTCGCAGCATAAAGAAAGCACACCAACAGAGCGGACGCAGTATGAAATATTTTTCGAATGCAATGGTATTCGTCTATCCTCGGAGGATGTTCGTCAGACGCACGATCTTTCCTTAAAACCAAGCCATCCATTAAACTCCGGTTCCAGGCGGCCGCCCTCCGAGTGCTTTTTGTGTGGCCATCAAAAATGCAGCACGCATCCGTCAATCCCTCGCCCCCTCGGAAGCCCCCATACAACTCCTTTATCGGTACTAGAAGAACGAGACACGTTAGCTGATGTTTCTCAGATATCATATCCCTATTCCCTTGTCTATTCCCTTGGGCCATTTCCCTCTCCCTAGCTCTTGTCGGTTGTCTCTGGATGCTCACCTTGTGGAAACCAATGTCCTTGGCCTTCTCACGGAAGCATTGACGGCACAGGTTGAGGTCGTACTTGCGGACCAGACCGGCGGTGTGCTTGCAGACGCGGCTATAATGAAGAAAACAAGACCCAGTTAGCCATCGGTCTCTGTGTGAATTTTCGCGGTTCGCCCATTATCCGTCCTCCTATTTTGACATTCGCTTGAAGTCGTGCAAGGGAGGCAACCCAAGCTCAGAAAATAAAGGGTAGCATCAGGTCGTCATACCATTGGCGAGAGCCCTTGCCGTAGTTTCGCGGGCGCGAGTTCCAGACGCTTTCGTGGGACATGATTGCGGTTGTGGTGTTGCAAGATGGTGATTTCGCGAGGGCAGAAGTGGGCGGAAATTTTGTGTGAATTTGCTATGGCCTATGCTTCAACCGATTGGAGGGTTGTCAGCCCCGGCGGAGCGGGCCACCAAATCGCAAAGGGCAAAGGGGGGAATTTGCGCGTGTCACGTGCGGCGCATCGTGACTGCGATGCGCTTATCATCACGTGAAACAGCTCTAATCATAGATAAACAATAGCAAGGTTGCAAGGGAGCTGTGGTGAGGGGCGAATCCCTCGGTGAGGTGAGACCACTAATCGCATGCCGAGCTCCCCGCCTGTGCCTGAACCAACCGCATTCCTGGACTTGGCGCAAGCTGTCCTCTTTCGCGCCCTTGATTTCAAAGCACTATTTCAGGTGACTCGCCGCGGTGATTATCTTTTATAAGTGGTGTTCTGGCTGGTCATAGCAAGTACCCATCAATTGCACTTAGCACTCCATCCGTTCCCACTCCCGTTGATACCGCTTTTCCCATCCAACAACCCCAGCTTAGATCTTGCCTTTCCTAATACGTCATGGTTTTGATCAAGAGCCTCGTGCTCGCCGTCCTGGCCAGCTCGGTGGCTGCCAAATCGGCCGTTATCGACCTGATTCCCTCCAACTTTGACAAGCTCGTCTTCTCTGGAAAGCCCACGCTGGTCGAGTTCTTTGCTCCCTGGTGTGGCCACTGCAAGAACCTTGCCCCCGTGTACGAGGAGCTCGCCCAGGTCTATGAGTATGCCAAGGACAAGGTACAGATCGCCAAGGTGGATGCCGACTCGGAACGGGAGCTCGGAAAGCGATTTGGTATTCAGGGATTCCCCACGCTAAAGTTCTTCGATGGCAAGAGCAAGGAGCCGCAAGAGTACAAGTCGGGCCGTGATCTTGACAGCCTGACCAACTTCATCATTGAGAAGACTGGTGTTAAGCCCAAGAAGAAGGGTGAGATGCCCAGCAGCGTTGTTATGCTCAACAACAAGAGCTTCTACGAGACGGTTGGAAGCGACAAGAACGTGCTGGTAGCCTTCACTGCTCCCTGGTGTGGCCGTAAGTGCAGACCCTGACCCCTAATCAAGTGACGCTTGGTATTTACTGGTGTTGCTTTATCTAGACTGCAAGAACCTGGCCCCTACATGGGAGAAGGTTGCCCACGACTTTGCTGGTGACGAGAACGTTGTGATTGCCAAGGTCGATGCCGAGGGCGCTGACAGCAAGGCTGTTGCCGAAGAGCAAGGCATTACCGGCTACCCTACCATCTTCTGGTTCCCCGCTGGCAGCAAGAAGTCTGTTGAATACGAGGGCGGCCGATCAGAGAGCGATTTCCTCAAGTTCGTCAACGAAAAGGCCGGCACTTTCCGCACTGAGGGAGGTGAGCTGAGCCCCGCTGCCGGCACTGTGGCTTCACTAGACGCTATCGTGGCCAAGTTCCTCGGCGGCGTTGCCTTGACCGAGGCCATTAGTGAGGTTAAGGAGGGTGTTGCCAAGCTCAAGGGCACCGCTGAGGCCAAATTCGCCGACTACTACGTCCGCGTGTTCGACAAACTGAACAAGGATGCCAAGTTTGTCAGCAAGGAGCTCACCCGACTCCAGGGCATCTTGGCCAAGGGTGGCCTTGCCGCTGGTAAGCGGGATGAGATTAAGGTCAAGGTCAACGTCCTGGACAAATTTACCCCCAAGGAGGAGGACGACAAGGACGAGCTGTAAGCTAAATGAACCATTTGGACATTGAAGAGAAAGAAACAAAGAAGAGAGAGAGAGAGAGAGAGAAAGAAAGAAAGAAAGAAAGAAAATGTTTGTCTACTATCAAGCGATGAAAGTATCATAAATTGTATGAACCCTGGGTTTACAGCTATCAAGACAAATACATCATGATAAAGCTAAAACAAACAAACCAATTCCTCCAAAAAACTCCGTGACAATTTTGACGGGGTCTGATCCCTAGATGAGCTGCGCAAAGATCATTCTATGACATGTTTTTCTTCCATCATGAAGATTTGGGTGCGGAGCCTGCTTCCTTGTTTTTACTTTCTAACAATGCCGCTTCAAGGTTATCGAGCCTTCGAGACATTTCGTCCACTTGCCTCGTGTTAGCATGCTGGAAGCCACGTTGATCTTTGTGCTGTGGTGGCTACTCACTCTTGGCGAATATCTCGGATGAGACCCCAGCAAATTTGTTGGACAAGGAGTTCAAGAGGTCTTCAACGGCGGCTGTAACATCGGCGCTGCTGTCCTCGTTGGCCTGCTTGAACTCGGTTAGCCTGCTCCATGAATGCATCTGGATTATCTAGCCCGGGAAGAAGAAGAGCGTCAGATGTGGTGGCGTCCTTATGGCTTGGTATGGCCGCTGAAACCAGAGGTGTCATTGCAGATGCCCCAGGCTGGCTGATATTTGTCGTGCAGTAGAACTTAATCAGGAAATGGGAGAGTAGACATACAGGCGCTGGGTTTGAGGCGATGGAGTCACGATTTGATGCCATGTTGAGATGAGACGAGATGATGCGCGGGATCGTTGATTCTTCCGGCGAGCAGTGGCGAGAGTCACACAAAATATGGGCAACCTGTTCCCCTCACTTGAAGCTGCTGGGGGCTGTGATACCGCTTATATATCCGAAGTGTTTCTGTGCTGGCTTGTTTCAGTTGGAGTTTGACTTCAAGGAAAGGGGGGTAGAGTTTGCCCACAGGAATGAAGAGCACGAGCATATGCTGGGCCCTCCGATCGCTCTCAAAGTCGTGCTAGGCAGAGAGTGGCTTTAGCGCGCTGGCTCTAAGACGGGGGCCCTGTGACAGCGGGCTTCAGCGCCCCGTAGCGGCATCAATCGCTGCAGGTGGCCCCTGTAAATTCGGAGCCCCGCCTCGCTAGCGCAGTGCTGTTGTTTCATTTCGAGTGAGCTTTCGGGTGTCGCTGACTTTCGTCACTCCGTATTTCGCACCAGCTTGGTGTTTGACATCAGATCTTCTACATCCTACACAGTCCCTCTCCTTGCGAGCCTCGATACCCAGCACTTGCGCCGATTCCCTCGGCAGTTCTGCGACAAATATCATGATAGCGGTATAGCTGATTCCGCGGCCTCAACTACTGCGCTGGCAGCATGCCAGAACTCCCCGCCTTCAGGGTCCTCGGCATCATCTTCATCCTCTGGTGGATGCTGCCGGGCAGCGACTACCAGAGCCAGTCGGTCGCATTATCAGATCTCGTTGTCTCGCGACTTTCGCACTACCGCGCATCCCTCGATGTGCTGAACACGACGCACTGGGCGGACTTTGCTCCCGTGGTGGAGGACGATGGCGATCACGCGAGCCCCAGATATGTCAACCTGACGGGATTTAGAGAGGAGGACCACTTGTCGTGGCAGGATCTGGGCCGGTTTCGTGAAAGAGGTCTGCAGTTCAGTCGCCATGCCATGCTAGCAGTTGACGGCGAGCAGCTCTGGGATGTTGCACAGGGGGAGGCGGTATGGGCAAACGCTTCGGGGGTTCTTCTTGGGCAGTGGGTACGCCGCCAGGAGACAATCCCGAGGACATACGACAGCTACAATCTCAGCGAAAGCGTGCCTTCTATGCACTGGATCGGGGATAAAACAGACTGGGCTCGTAACGTGACCGGCGGTACTGGCAGGCTCCAGGTACGGCTGACGGGAAACGAGACGGTGGCCGAATACGAGCAGCTCTCCAAGGTCGATGCTCCCCTCTCTGGAGGCTTGATACGCAACGTGAAGGCGGTAGTGACGGTTGAAGACACCGAGGGATCAGGATTGAGCTGGGAGATGGTTCTCTTCGGCGTGCATTGGCCACGACAGGGCGTCATCATGATGGCAACAACAAGCGAGAAGTTCGACGGCATCTTTGGGCTACCGCATCTGACCCCTGGGCCCGACTATTTCCAGTCAAGTCAGCGGTTTCTGAACCAAACTCTTGAGCACACTATAGCTACCAAGGAAAAGAACATCTACTCCGACCAGAACATACCATGGAAATCCAACTTTGAGAGCCCCCTCCACACTCGGAATCCCTCTCCACACTGCGAGTACGTCGTGTATCTTCAGACCCATCCCCCAAGCAGACAGAGCTTGGGTCTTGGGTCTGCCATTCCCAAAGGGGAGAGCATGGCAGAGATGCTACAAGCCATCGAGTCAGAGCTGGAGTCTCCACTCGGTGCGCCCATCAAGCACATCCCAAAGCTCCAAATGTCAGCGGTTGTATACTCACCCGACTGCGGCCTCTTCATGGAGTCAAAGGGGCCTCCGGATTTCCCCCGGAGCGAGGGCGATCACCTCCTCGGCGTGAAATTCGAGGTGCAAATCAGCAGCATCAATTATTGGCTGCTCGCATACGCGGTGATGATGTTTGGCCAGGTCATGTTGCTCAAGGGCCAGATGAAGGAGACGTATACCCCGTCTACCCTTGGAAGAGTCAGCTTTTGGACAATCAGCATGATGCTCATTGCCGATGGCATGACTTTTAGCGCGGCTGCGTCGTGGGTTGCCACGGCTCAGTATACCTTCTTGCCAACCCTAACGCTCACGTTTGCGTCCTTCATGTCCATGACTATAGGGGGGAGCCTGCTTGCCAAGATTCACGAGGTCCAAACACCACCGCCTCGCACTCGCCGAGAAGGGACGCAAGGTGCAGCTGGTCCAAACAGCGGATCGACCAGTACGGCCTCCTCAGCACCGCTAACACCAAATCGCACGGGCACGGCAACAGGCCCAATACTCCCTGGGCCGGTAACAGCAGGACGTGGCCTCGGTAATCCGGCTGTTGCCAATGTAGGCGCCGCTGCCAGCATCGCAGATGGCGCCTCGGCCGTGCCTGGCGCAGTCACAGCTGCTGCGAGACCAGGTGAACCGCCTACGCAATCTCCGACGTTTCAGTCACTCATGGGCCGGTTTGTGCTCGTAGGCGCCCTCGTCATGTTCGTCAGCGTCTCGTCCATAGCATGGTACATGACGGCGCGCTCATGGTTCCTCAACATCTGTGCCCTTGTCTATCTATCCATGTGGATCCCCCAGATATACCGCAACATCATCCGCAACTGTCGCCGCGCCCTCAAGTGGCAGTTCGTCATCGGCCAGTCCCTCCTCCGTCTTCTCCCACTGGCATACTTTTGGCTCAAGACGGACAACTTCCTCCTCACGCGGACGGAGCCCCGGGCCTTTGCCGTGCTTTGCCTTTGGGTCTGGCTGCAGATCTTTGTGCTCGCGACGCAGGATGCCGTGGGGCCTCGATTCGGCATTCCCAAGGGCTGGATGCCCGATGCGTGGGACTATCACCCCGTCCTCAGAGAAGACAACGTCGAGGCTGGGGGGCTGCCCATTGGACTTGGTGCCGAGGACAGCCCGGGCCGTGATCGCAGACGCAGCAGCGAGGACAGAGATAAAGCCCGTCCTGGCAGCGGCGGCGGCACCACGCGGGCCATCGACTGCGCCATTTGCCGCGAGGTGCTCGAGGTCCCCGTCGTCAAGGCCGGAGAAGAAGACATGAGCGTGACGGGGGTGTTTTCGAGGAGGATGTACATGGTGACTCCGTGCCGCCACATCTTCCACAGCCTTTGTCTGGAGAACTGGATGAATTTCCGGCTTCAATGCCCAATATGTAGAGAGGATCTGCCACCCATGTAAATTCGGAGGAGCGTAAACTTAACCTATTTAGCATAGTGGTCAAATGTATAATCAAGATGAGACGTCCAATAAAGGTGTAACAGCTGGAACCTATGTATTATACCATTCAAAAGTGAAATAATGCAAGAGCAGGATTTGGTCCTCTTGATGCCAGGGAAACAAAACCGGCTGTGTATTAATTAATACAAATTCATGCTATTCTCGATAAACTACCCAGGTCTATATATAAAGAATAGAATAAAATATGCGATATCATCTGCGTATCAACCATTAACCCTTTTGCGTGAGCTCATATCTTGATTTTCACCCTCCAAAACTTGCCATAAATGAAAATACATCACACAAAAAAAAAGTAGACATATTCGCCTTGATCATGCAGTTCCACCTAGGAAAAAAAAAGATGACGAAAAAGAGATAAAAACGTAACAGAAAAGAAACATGGCCCATTGTCCTCGTAGTTCATAACGCTCTTCCACTATTAACCATTACCTGTTTTCCCCATGCAATCCAAAGCACGAGCAATACTCCCTCAAAAGAACATTGACATAAACATCATAATGTGTGGACATGACAACAAAATCGCAAAGATGAATAGAAAAAAACGTGAGTAAAGAGGTGGGCGTTCATGGGCTCACCAAGTGATTCGAGTCGCTTTGTGTCGTCGGTCCCTCATCCCCTGGCGCAAATCTCGGGAGCCCACCGTGAGCTCAGCAAATCGATGTCGTAAGTCGAAATTGACAGACTGGACCATGACTCTCTTTTCCTCTGGTATTGCCCGGCTTGGAAGAACGACCTGCGTTATCCCACCAGGAGGATGCATTTCGGGAAAGGGATTCTCGGACTCTTCTACCTCCATAACCCATTGAGCAATGTTAGCCGTCAGCTCGCTGTCCCACATGCCCTCACGCCGGGCGCTGCTCCTCAAAAGTTGGATTGCTTCCCGCCTGACGACTGGATCTCGACATTTAGTGGCCACGACAAAGAGCGGCGGAACAATTCCAAGGTCTGCGGAAAAGCTGGGCTTGATATGATGGGTTGTGTATTTCCCCGCCATAAATGCTGGCATTGGAGTGCCGTGTTGCTGTTGGCACCTCCGAGGGTCCGGGCAACGCTCGGTAGCCGCTCGCTTTTCATCATCACCAACTACCTCCCAACCCAGGCTAACAATAGCCTTGAAATGGGGGAGGAAACCATCAAACTGAACCTCAGCATCGCAGAAAATCGTCAAGAATATGACATTTGTGTTGATCTGAAACATTTTCAAGGCCGCGATGCCCGACTTCTCCAGCAAATTCATGCCAGGCTGCAGCCGCGATTGGAAGATTGGTTCGAAAGCTTTTGACCACGAATCAATTTGGCCTTGAAATGTAGCACCCAATTGTCTCCAGGACGGGGGTAAGGTGTAGGAAGGTTCTTTCTTGGCACGCTGTAAATGTTCGATGAATCGCAGCAACATCTCGCACAGCTGATCTGAAGCCAGGCGAGCTTCCCGCAAGGATGAAAACTGATGGGGTATGGGCCTAGACGGCTGAGGAGAACCCATGTCTGAGAGAGGTGAGGACGGGTCTTGTAAACTCTGAGGGCCCAGCTCAATCACGAATGGATGGGGGAAATGGAAAGCCATGTCGTACGATTTGGCCTGAATTGCCAAGCGCGTGAAAATGATTAGGAGATCTTCCTCAACTCGTTCATTGGAATGAGGAGCTTGCGTCCGATCAGATTGAATTCGAGCCAGGAGCTTCAATCCCGTTTGAATTTGGACAATGGCCTGCCGATGGTCACCAATAAAAGAGTCAAAACAGGCTAATAAGACACTGGCCATCAGACGGGTTTTGTTGGTCGCCAACTTGTCACCGCTGAGAAGTAGCATGGCGTTACAGGCTTCCGAGTATTTCCTAACGGCAACTTGCCAATGACACATGACCGAGTCCAGCCGGCTCATAGCACCAGGAAGGGGCATCGAGTCAGGCTCACAAGACTGTTCAAGCGTCTTATACAAGGCGCCAAGAGCCACAACGGCGTGTCGAATGGACGGCTCGAAGTGGCATTCCTGTAGAACGCGCTGTGTCCAAAAGGTCGAATCAAAGTATCCAGACAGCTCTGAAGCCGTCTGGACTCGGAAGAGGTCAAAGTACAGACTTTCCGTATGCATCAAGGCCAAGTTGTGAGACGGCTCGTACACAAAGGGCATGGTGGCATTGGCGGCGAGAGGCCCAGCCTGCCGTTTGCGACGGTTGACACGCCGAGGGGGGAGCATAATGGTGTGACCTGTGAGCAAAAGGCTGGCAGTGGTTGAAGTCGAAGCGCTCGCAATGCTGCTTGGCGCTGGCTGCAGTTGCTGGAGGTGCTGGAGCCCAGCCGCTGCGGCAACCAAAGGCTTCGGAGCAATGCGGACATCAACGGCAGCTCTGGCCCCGCGGCTGGGCGCCGGATAGCCGGTGCAATCTTTCTTGCTGCGGACGCACTGCGAGCAAGCTGGACGCATTTCATCGCACTTGATGCGCCGTTGCCTGTGGACGGAGCCTGTTAGTGGTTTTACCCGAGATGAGATGCTGGGGGTGTGAGAAGAGGAGCAGGCAGTGGGAGGTGGAAGGCAGAGGGATGCTCATGATCATAATCAGAGGCTGTACACTCCATAAATATGTCCAACTCCAGATGTTCTTACTTGCAGTTCAAGCACCCCGTCTTGACCTTGGGATTGCTTCGTCGGTTGCGCTTCTTGGGCGCCTCTTTGCCATTGCCGTTGGCGCTGCCATTGTCGCTGCCAATCACTGAAGTTATTGACTGGGCAATGCCGCTCGAAGGCAACGAAGGTTCCATGCCGTCAGGTTCGGGAGAGCCCGTTGGAGTCGCGGCTGGAGTTTGATATGAGCCCTCAGCCGAGACCATTGCCGCCGGGCTGGGGCCAGGAGCAGCCATGACAAGGATGGAGAGAGAGAGAGAGAGAGAGGTGAGAGCCCCGCGGTGCTGAGGATTATAAAGCTAAGGGAGCCTCATAAAAGCGGTAAAATATGCGGCTGGTTTGCAAATAGCAGCAAAAGGAAAAGGCAAAAAATAGAGTGTTGAAGACTCCAGAGAAGTATGTATAGCGGGGGTTCGCTGAACGGGGAGAGGCCGCTCTTATCAGGATATGGAGATCAATTGACGGGAAGCCATGCGCTTAGCAGGTCGTAGCGGCCGTCGTAGCGGAGCTAGGTCGAGTGGAGTCGAGGCGAGACAGCGGCTGCCGCTACTGCAGTACACCTCCGGTACAAGAGCTTCGATGGACAAGTACCTACATTGCCTACCTATAGTACTTGGATCCTGGTGCTCGTATACCTTGGGAAGGATAGGTACCTTAGGTAGCGCAGTAGTGAAAGGAAGTGAGACAGACGTGCAGAAAAGGGGGAAACAAAGGAAATTATAACAAGACAGCAAGACAGCAAGACAGCAAGACAAACAGCCACAACTACTATAGGCGATGAGAGACGGGAGAGCAGAGCAGAGCAGGCAGATCAGAGCGAGCAGAACAGAGCGAGCAGGACAGAGCGAGCAGGACAGAGCAAGCAGGGCAGGACAGGGTGTACCGCGGCAGCCTTGGACACTTCAACGCCGCCAAATCACCAGATCCACAGGCCAATTCATGCCGGAGCCGCAGACAGACGCAGACGCAGACGCAGACGCTGACAACCGTGTATTATGCACATGTCGCCGCCGCCATGCAGGTCCCCCTACAGCCTGGCAGACAGGGCTGCTTTGGTTAGTAGTGTGGGAGTATTGATTACATGTACGGTGTACAGAACGAGTACGCAGCGGTGGAAATACAAGGAAATAAATGCGATGGACCTGACCCGGCCCAACCAGCAGCAGAGCCGTTGGTGTTAAATTTCATCGGTCGGGGCTCTGGTACTTGGTACCGACAAGTACCCGGTACTTGGACGAGAGCCGGTGACAGATGCAACTCGATGCATCGTGTCATGGCCGACGACGTGCGAGAGCCAGGATGAACTGGGCGGTGGAGGACCTGCAGCTGCAAGCACAGTGGCAGTGGACGGCATGCAGGTATCGCATCGGTTTCTTTGACAGCACAGGATGGCTCCATCGCACCATCGACTCAGGTAGCAATACTAGCCGTCTACCTAGTACTTGCCTGACAGGCGGATAAATGGCCATGTCAAAGTGCCGCCATGTAACTCCAAGCTCCGTTGTTTGGCCCAGAAGTCTCCACGACGCGGTGCCCGTATGAGACAAGAGAACCACCACACGTAATTCTCTCGGGGGGCAACGGCAGCAGAGAGATTGACAAGGTACAGTAGCCATCATACGTTACTCATGAGGGTTGGCGAGGCTGTCCTCTTGGATTCAATTGCTGGTACCCGTATCGACTTGGGACGGTGGGGATGCCCTCAGATAATTAGAGTCAACTGACATCTTCATTGACCGGAATCTTTCCCCTTCCAACGAGCCTAACCCGCGCTACCAAAGTTCAAGTTACTCTCACACCAACTCAGCACACATAGCTGCAATCTAGCTCGCCGCAAATCGCCCATTTCGGACGCATGCTGCCCTCCAAGGATCCCGCTAGAAGCTGTGCTTGGCTAGGACTGCACCTTAGCGGCACTTTTTCCAGCCTGCAGCGTTCAATCTGATCTCTGCTGGTACGCCGACTTGGTTCTTGCACCAGCACATCGATGGAGCATGCGACAGACAAGATTGACGATCTGCGTGTCGCCGCCGCCACATGACTGCGGTTGAAGTTCATCTTGGCAATGTCTTCTTGTACAAGTGCCTGCACCGGTACAAAGATACTATACCCAGGTACGGTACGGAGCACTTGCTGTGCCGATACATCACCAAGTCGCAGCGCATGTTCACGCGTCCCCCTCTTTCGCTCACCTCCTCTTTGCATGCAGCTTGCCGAAGCTTGTTGTCTGTGGGATGCACTATTACCTGCCTGTACCTTGCCGGACCATGTACTCGTTTGGTAGCTTTTCGGATGTTCTGTGCATGTACCTACTGCATGTGTCCGTTTCGGTCCTTTCGGAGCAGCCAGCTTGTTGCGGTCAGCCCAAACTGTCGTAGCCCATGCTGTCGTTCATCATCGACAATACTATATTGAAGTTGGCCCGACTCCGCTCAGAGACTTGATTGTGAGAGTCCTTCGTATGCGACATTTGCGTCCTTCAACACAGCAACTCCATAGGCATCTGCTGGAGATGGCTGGATATTAGTCCATACTCCATAGCATAGGCAAAATGGGTCAACAGGGATGCCTTGTGTGACGTTGGGCACGCATGCAAGGGATAGGGCATACAAGGTATATACGGAGTAGCTTGGTCTTGATTCGGAGGGTTTCTGAATGGTCCATACGCAGAAAGGTCAGTCCAAAGACATGCCCACCTATGGCGGTACTATAGGTAGTATTAGGATCTGAAACACTCCTTAGGGTTTTCAACTTATCACAAACTGGTCAAGGGAAACTCCGTCCCAAAGATACAGGTAACCCTCTATTCGAGAGGTCTTTGCTGGTGCAAGATTTGACCCTCTAGAGCCGATAGGACTATACTATTTACCTAGAGGTAATACCAATTCTTCAATTGTCCAATTGGCAATGACTCTATGGATTTCATTGTCCTGGTGATGAGTATTTCAAGACGCCGCCACCGATTTCCCCCATAATAGAATTTTGCCCAATTTGCTATTTGGCTCCATTTCTACCCTGGCAGCCTGGCCTTCTGATGCACAGACATTTTGGCAGGGGCTTTAGGGTAGTATGGAACTGGCAGGGCGGTTTGCCGAGTTGACAAGGAACTGTTTCTCCAGTATGGGCTGGTGCCGTATAATGATAGTATGCAGAGACCAGGTAATGTATGGCCGATGACTTGTCGGCTCATATATGTCACTTTAGGCTGCATGGCTACCTCTAGCTGCTGGTTCGTCCAACAATACGTACGAGAATGTTGTTTAAATAGAGACACCGAAATGGTTAAAAAGCGGGATGCATGTTTGCATCGCCAGAGGCTACCAGAGGAAGCCATCTGATTGGCTACATTCAGCCACTGGCCCGCAGAAAAGTTGCAATGATTCGAGCACTTGTCTTGAATTTGCTTGTTGCAATTAACCATCGTACTGATTGACCACGACTCCAACAAGCCGTATTGCGATCTCGAAGCTATCCAAACTCGTTAGAGAAGGGAAATACGGTACACGACTATACGAGTTGCCCATTGATATTACGACATCGCATAAACGCACTCCTTGCCGGTCTCTCCAACACACCAACAGATTAAATCATGTCGGAACAGCCTGAGAAACCGCCGCTGCCTCCTCGCAATGAATTCATACACAAATCAGCGCTTGCAGGAGCAATAATCACTCCCCTAGCGATGCTGCTCCCTCCCAGAAAGGCCGACGTCCGACTGCTCGTGCTGGTGGGAGCATTCTCACTCTGCACAAACCAGCTTGCCTACGAGTACACAGGACAATCTATATACGGGCGGTTTGGAAGCCGCGTGGGCTCAATATTTGACACGGGGCTACCAGAAGGCGCAAAGAGGACCCAGCAGCTGCTAAAGGAACAAAGGGAGAGAGAGGCCGCGCAGAGACAGGCTCAGAAACAATCCGAGCCGGAAGAGGGCAAAAGCCGGCTCAAGGACATCTGGATGGGCGGCGAGGGGGAGGACTGGAAAGAGAAGAGGGCCGAGGAGCACAAGAAGAGCTTTCAAGAGGGCAAAGGCATGAGCGATATCATCTTTGAGCAGATTGCTGATGTGTGGAGTGGCAACTGGAGAGGCAAGGCGAACAAGGACGACTCTTCCTCGGATGATTCGCAGGGGGAGAAGAAGAAATAGTTTGGGGATCTACAGCATTTGATTGACGATGTTGATGCTATGTGGAATCTTTCTACGATTAGTTTGTACTAGTAAGGTGGCGTGATTGTATGATAGGTATGGGTATGTGTAGGTAGGTATGTACAGAGTCTGTGTGGTTGGAATAACCGATGAGGGGCCTTTGTCACTCTAAAGGTGCGATGGATACAGGGAAGCTGCGTCATTGAAAACTATGGGGTTTAAAGGGGAAAAAAAAAAAGATATTCATGTCCTCTCTAGGCGAAAATTGGGTCGATTGACAGAACAGGGCTGACAGGGCATTTCAAGCTTAAGTACGATTTGATGAGTCTGGGGATGATCCGTTTGCTCGTGAAGTCAGGTTGCTAAATATAACATCAATCGGAACCCATAATACATAATACGTGGCAGCGCCTTGCTCTGTGGCGTCCCCGCCAGGTACAAGAGCTGTGCGATGATTTAGCAGCACAAGCTGTGCTGTTCGTATCTCGGTAGTCTGAGCCACCAATTCGTCGCGTCCTGCTGAAGGCTGATTGGCCTCGTGCAATTTGTTTGTACAATTCCGGACCGATGTTTCGACAGAGCTCTGTTTATGCCCAAGGTGTGTATCTGCTGATTGTTGTGAACTACCCGACCTCTTATTACTTATTTTGTGCTTTTGGCGAGACCCGGCGGAACGAGCAAGCCATGGTGCGAAAAAGGCGTCCATCCATCTTGCAAAAGGATGTGCGCTTAATAGCACCGTAATGGCAACCCAGCGGGACAATCAGGCTGAACGACGGGCCAAAATAGCAAAACGCCACAGCAATCCAGTCATTTTCTGGCTGATCGACGCCGAGTTCCAGTTCCAGCACAGCACAGCCCAGCCCCCCCTGGGCCCACCAACGTCAGCGTGCTGTGCATGCCACTGCCGTAGGATTTTTCGATCAGATGTTAGTTGGCGGGAGGTTATTATAAGAAAATGTGCATCAGCTGCTCCGTGTTGTGCTTTCGCTGCCTGGGTCTGCCTTTTGATTTTGTCTCCTCTCTTCTCTCTTCTCTCTTGTCTTCCCTCTCCATCACAAGCTTTTTGTTGGCCTCTTGTTTCATCTTCTCTTCGTCTGATAGACGCCCCCGCTGCAACTCGGCCTGAAACACCGGCAAGCCTGTGCCAATGCACCGCTCAGTGGCAATTTAACAGCCTGATCCATCAAATCACTGCAGGCGCACAGGCCGACAGGGGCCTCTGCAGCGTCTGAGCTCCGTAAACCTGGTACGAATCACTACCGAAGGAATACCAGTACATCGCACATCGTATCCACTACGTAATCGCCGGCAAACATCAAAGCAAGGCGTATTTGGAGCCGCTTTTCTCCTGCCCTCCTACATACCTCATACCATACCATCCCGTCCGTACCCTCGGCACGTCGAACCCTCAGCAGCCTTCATTCGCGATACACCGATTCTGTCAACGTACACAAGACAGTCCCTTGGCCTCGACCTCGACCTCGACCTCGACCTTCACTTCGCCTCGCTTCTCTTCAACTCCATCGCCTTTGCTTCTCCGCGCGGCGTCAGAGCCCGCTGGACAGCTCTTTCGCCATGGCTGCCAACAGCTACTACTATGGCGGCAATCAGCAACCGCCAAACCAGCCAACAGCCCCTTACTATGACAGCACCCACGCGCCAGCAGACTCAGATCTTCCGCAGGCCTACAACCATGGCTACTCGGATGCTCATTATGGGAGCCCATATGGCGCTCCTGTGAACCACCAGCCCACAACAGGTGCGTCGCCGTTTGATACTGTCTTCGACGATCACGCATACCCAACGAATTCGAACTCAGGGACGGGCGGCGCGAGTAGCAGCGACATCTCCCAGCAAGGCTTCTATCACCAAGACACGGGCTACTATGGGTCGAGGACGGAAAATATCCCGCTGCAGGACCACACGAGCAAGTCTCCCGAGGCTACTGATCACATTTACGACGCGCCGGCTGCACAGCCGAACCAGAGGCGCGACAAGAGAGGCAAGGTTCGGATAGGCGAGCTGGGCATGCTTGGTGCCAACAAGAAGCGCATCCCATGGCTGGTCTATATTTTCTCGGTTGCGCAGGTCGCCGTCTTCATCGCCGAGATTGTGCGGAATGGTAAGCGCACACGACCAACCAAAATCCAATTTGCTAGACTGGTCTAACCATGATGTATCGCAGGTCTGTTAACGGGCTCTCCCATCATGATCAAGCCCCAGTTCAACCCAATGATTGGGCCATCGACCCAGGTCCTCATCAACATGGGCGCCCGCTACGTGCCTTGTATGCACAATATCAAGGAAATTCAAGGCTCCACGATCCCCGTGCTGTTCCTCTGCCCAAATGCCACCAAGAATACGCAATTCTGCCCTCTTTCGGAACTGTGTGGCTTCGGCGGTGACGTCCCGAATCCTCTTTTTGATGGCAACGAGCACCAGTCCCCGGCTCCAAACCAATGGTTTCGCTTCATCATTCCGATTTTCATGCACGCCGGGCTTATCCACATCGGCTTCAACTTGCTCATGCAGCTCACCATTGGCAAAGAGATGGAAATGGCGATTGGGTCCATTCGATTTTTCCTCGTCTATATGAGCGCCGGCATCTTTGGCTTTGTCATGGGAGGAAACTATGCCGCCCCTGGTATTGCTTCTACTGGAGCGTCGGGCTCCCTCTTCGGCATTATTGCTCTTACTCTACTCGACCTGCTATATTCGTGGAAAGACCGACGAAGCCCCGTTAAGGATCTGCTGTTTATTATAATCGACATGGTTATTTCTTTTGTTCTCGGGCTGCTGCCTGGTCTCGACAACTTTTCTCACATTGGAGGGTTCTTGATGGGCCTTGTATTGGGTATTTGTGTCCTGCATTCTCCTAACTCCCTACGAAGGAGAATTGGCCCGGATCCATTTTACTCAGCGGTACCCGGTGCGCCAGAGCCTGGGACGGTTCCCTTTTACAAAAGCCCAGTTGGCTTTTTCAAGGGGCGGAAACCCTTATGGTGGGCCTGGTGGCTTGTTCGAGCAGCCGCTCTTGTGGTCATCATTGTCGTTTTTGTCGTTCTGCTCAACAATTTTTACAAGGTTGGCAATACCTGCAGCTGGTGCAAGTATCTTAGCTGTCTTGTGAGTTGCATTCCCCCCTGTCTCTTCCCTAAGGATAAGCTAACATGCTCTAGCCTGTTAATGGTTGGTGCGATCTTGGAACCATCAAGGTGCAGTAAAGGCGCAAAGGTGGAAAATGGCATGGATATAGACGAAATAGGAAGAGGCAAAAAAAAAAGGCGATTATTTGTCAACGTCTAAATTTCTCCTTTGGTGGCAGATGATATGTCTGTAAAAGACGAAAGAGAAGAGGGTAAGAGGATTTTTTACATTATATATATAGCGCTGGCGTTTAAGGTCGTTGAAGAGATCACCGTTACACACACAAGACAGGGGCAAGACAGGGGAAAGGAGGAGGGATGATGGCATAATGGGTCGAAAGCAAACCCATCTCACAGTTTGTATATAGACGATGGCTATTTTCTCGGGATTGGACTGTCTACATCTCGATGAGTGTAACTGCATGGGAATGGAACCTGGGGAGGGCCTTTTGTTTTTTATTTTGTTTGTATTTTAGAGGGTGTGTGACTGCAAGATGACTGATGCATCTGCCCATATTTGCGTCACATCTTGGCAGCCGTGAAATATGCAAGACAGCTGTTCGCCCAGACGGCAAGTCACGCGACTAGTTACCTAAGAGAAACGAGGTGTGACGACGCTGTTGATGTTGCATCGGTACCGCAGTTAGTAATTCGCCCACGGCTAAATGTCTTTTGCCCTTTGGGATTCTCCGTCTTCTCCTCAACTTTGCTCTTTGATTTCTGGCGTTTGTTGTGTGAAAACGGCCTCAAACGAGCCTCATATGGCCTCTTGTCTCGACAACAACACACGATGGTCACCACAAGAAGAGCAGAGCTAAGCATGGCACGATACGACAGCAATAAATAGAGCACGCATCAAAGAGAAACAGACATGCCCGGCACAAAGGTAAGAGAAGAAAGGGCAACGAACCCTAACCACCCCCCTGCCTGTCTTCATGATGAATGTTCTTCAATGCATGGCTTAACTGAATGATCCCGCAAGGGACACTTGTTGAGTAAAAAGAATAGACGTCTGATACGAAGCTTTGACTCTTTCTTTCGGATTTACTGTCACTTCTGGGAAGATATGCTGGCTAACCAAATGGCAGGATATGCAAGGGTGAGGCGTTGGAGAGAATATGATGTGGCGGTTCATCAGTAAGTCTTTTGATCTTGTTGAGACCGTCTTTACCTATTGAAGACAATGGGCGCCACTTGTAATGGCCCAGCCCAAACTGTTTGCCTCTTAGAATTAGAACTTTTTAGCAGATGAACGGGCTGTTATGCCTAATAGGATTCTACAGATTTGTCATAGTTGTGACTCCTTCACGTGTACTTGTAATGCAACGTGAACCCCTCTGCTCTCTTTTGTTTGCCCCTGGCTAGCTAGCAATAGATCAAGATCGTTCTAACCAACGGACCGCAAAGGGGGATTCCCGTGGTGGCGTCTTGCTGTGTGGAATCTTGTTTTGCCCCCGTTTCTGATCTGAGCTTGTAAGAGACGGCTAACCCCAGAAGTGCCCCAGAGGAAGCAACCCCGCTCTAGTTACGAGTACTTCTACCAGGTACTCTGCGGCGCTCATATGCTTAGGTAATGCAGCGACAACAGAACGCCAACTCACGTGCATACCCATTAAACAAACGGTGGGTCTAGTCACGTCACGGTCCGGAGGCGCGTATTGCTGGGAATATCGTGTCGGCTGTGAGACGGAAGGAATCTCGTCTTTTCCCTCCAGGGACCAGCAATTCGCCCCGACATCGTTGGACTTCCCCCCTGACAAGCCACAGCTGGCCTCGGTTTGTTTGATACACACTTCCTAGAAGCATCGCAAAAGGACCATGGCTGCCACAGTTGTCCCCCAGAAGCGAGTGCTGGGCGAGTCCCGCACTCGCCAGAACATCCCCTCATCGCCACAGTCCGCCAAGAAGCGGAAAACTGAAATTGACGAGCCTGCGCCGCCGATTCCTCGCTTCATCAGCTCACAGAAGGGACCGGGAGTTAAGCTGGGAGCTAGTCAGACAAAGAGCGTGTTCGAATCCGAAGTTCTCGAAAAGCTGAGCCAGGATATATCAGAACGCAAGCAGAACAATACAGAAAAGGACCAAGCATGGGATCGGCCGCCGGTGACAGAGTTCGTCCCAGGCCAGGATAGCATCTGCTTCCAGTCCATCGAAGCCGAGGAGGGTACCTTGCACGGCGGAAAGGTCGCCGTGAAGCTCTTTGGCGTGACGGAAGAGGGCTACTCAGTTATGCTGCATGTCACGGACTTTAAGCACTACCTTTACGTGGCTGCCCCTCTGTCCTTCCAGCAAAAGGACTGTGCGCTGTACAAGGCGTATCTTGAGACACAGGTTGCCCAGCACCAGCCCGCGATCCATTCAGTGAGCTTGACCATGAGAGAAGACATTTACCACTACCAGGGCAACGTACAAAGTCCCTACCTCAAAATCACCGTCACTGACCCCAAGTTCATCAACACGGTGCGATCAACAATAGAAAAGGGCCTTGCGAACTGGAAAGGCATGTGGGGAGCTTTGGACGGCGGCCTGAGAACGTATGACAACATCCAGTACGTACTGCGGTTTATGGTGGATTGCAAGGTAATGGGTTTACACTCTCGATTTTCCTGCTAGTGTAACACTTTTGGCTAACAGAGCGTGGGATAGATTCAAGGCATGTCGTGGGTGGAAGCCCCTGCCAGCTCCTACAAGATGATACCGGAACACAGCCGCCAGTCCAATTGCCAGATCGAAGCCGAAGTCAATTACATGGATCTCATTGCCCACAAGCCGGAAGGAGAGTGGGCCAAGATGGCACCCCTGCGTATCCTCTCCTTCGATATTGAGTGTGCCGGACGCAAGGGAATCTTTCCCGAGGCCAACGTCGACCCCGTGATCCAAATTGCAAACGTGGTTACCAAATACGGAGAGAAGAAGCCCTTTATCCGAAATGTCTTTTGTCTAGACACTACCAGTTCCATTGTCGCGACACAAATTCTAGACTATGAGAAGGAGGAGCAGATGCTCCACGAGTGGCAGCAATTCCTCGTCCGGGTTGATCCAGACATCATCATCGGATACAACATCTCCAACTTTGATTTTCCCTACCTTCTTGATCGTGCAAAGCACCTCAAGGTGCAAGGTTTTGAGTACTGGTCTCGCATTCCTAGCAAGCCGTCCAAAGTCAAGGAAACCAACTTTTCAAGCAAACAAATCGGCAACCGGGACACCAAAACCACAAATACCAATGGTAGATTACAGCTCGACATGCTGCAGCTGGTTCAGCGTGATCACCACCTGCGAAGCTACACGCTGAACTCTGTGTGCTCCCAGTTTTTGGGCGAGCAAAAGGAAGATGTGCACCACACCATGATTACGGAGCTGTTCAACGGAACACCCGAATCACGACGACGTCTGGCGCTCTACTGTTTGAAGGATGCCTATCTCCCCCAGAGACTGATGGATAAATTGTCGTGCCTAGAAAATTACACCGAAATGGCCAGAGTCACGGGTGTTCCTTTCAACTTCTTGCTTTCGCGTGGACAACAGATTAAATTCGTGAGTCAGTTGTTCCGAAAAGCACTGGAACAAAAACTGGTTATCCCCAACATCGCCCCCCAGGGGACAGAGGATCAATACGAAGGCGCCACAGTTATTGAGCCGACGCGAGGATACTACGACGTGCCCATTGCGACTCTTGATTTTGCTTCCCTGTACCCAAGTATCATTCAAGCCCACAATCTATGCTACACGACTTTATTAAGACCCGGAGACGTCGAGAGATTCAAGCTCGAAAAGGACGTAGACTACATCGTTACCCCCAACGGAGACTCCTTTGTGACGGCCACCAAACGCAAGGGACTGCTCGCTCAAATTCTGGAGGAACTGCTATCAGCCCGAAAGCAGGCAAAGCGAGAGCTAGCCCAAGAGACGGATCCCTTCAAGAAGGCTGTGCTGAACGGTAGGCAGCTGGCGCTGAAAATCAGTGCCAACTCTGTCTACGGTTTGACGGGCGCGACGACAGGAAAGCTGCCTTGTCTCGCAATCGCAAGTAGTACCACCAGTTTCGGCCGTCAGATGATTGAGAAGACGAAACGGGAGGTGGAGATGAAATACAACATTGCAAACGGCTACACTCACGATGCTCAAGTTATTTACGGTGATACCGATTCCGTCATGGTAAAGTTTGGAACAAAGGATCTCGCAGAGGCGATGAAGTTGGGCGAAGAAGCCTCCAAGTTCGTGTCAGCCAAGTTCTTGAAGCCCATCAAGCTGGAATTCGAAAAGGTCTACTTCCCATATCTGCTCATCAACAAGAAGCGATATGCTGGGCTGTACTGGACAAAGACGGAGAAGTACGACAAGATGGACACCAAGGGTCTCGAAACGGTGCGGCGTGACAACTGCCTGCTAGCCCAGACTGTCATCGAAAAGGTCTTGCGGATGATTCTCATCGACCGGGATGTCCAAGGCGCACAAGAGTAAGTAAAGTCATGCAATCGTATGATTAGGGGGGGCACAATGGCTAACGTCTCTCCAAAAACAGTTACGTCAAAAGCACAATTGCAGATCTGCTGCAGAACAAGATTGACATGTCAAAACTGGTCATCACAAAGGCCCTCACCAAGGAGGACTACGCAGCCAAGCAAGCCCACGTTGAACTTGCACAGAGGATGAAGAAGCGTGACGCCGGCTCGGCGCCTGGTCTTGGCGATCGAGTGGCGTATGTCATGGTCAGGGGAGCGGCGGGAGCCAAAAACTTTGAGAAGTCGGAGGATCCAATCTACGTGCTGGAGAACAACGTGCCGATCGACACCAAGTACTACCTGGACAACCAACTAGCGAAGCCACTTGGACGAATCTTTGAGCCCATCCTTGGCGAGACAAAGGCAAGATCTCTGTTGACGGGAGACCACACGCGCACAATCTCAGTGGCGGCCCCCACGGTGGGAGGTCTGATGAAGTTTGCCAAGAAGACGCAGACATGCATGGGATGCAAGAAGCCGCTTACGGGTAAGCACGAGAGCGCCGGCGCAGTGTGCAGCGACTGCGCGCCTCGCGTGGGAGAGCTCTACAACAAGACGTTGGACCGAGTATCG